CAAATGGGTTTCAACAATCCAGATGCAGGGAACATCTCATTCTATTTGTATGCGATATCAATCCGGAACTTGCTCCAATTCCAACTGCAGGTTCAAACACGTGTGTGCCATACCAAAGTCAGATGGCACCGCTTGTGGTGGCAACCATAGCGCAAAGGATCACAATTCGACACCTCATTGACCACCTCCTGCAGTTCTGGATGTTTCACCAGTGAATATTTCATCAAATGATGATTCACAGACACTGGATTCTACGCAGTTCAGCTCTCAGTTGCATGATTCAGTAGTTCCACGCGCAATCGATGAGAACATGACTCCACGGTCGAGCGCACAATTTTCAGCACAAGATCCAACAGAATTTGCATCGATTCCAAGATCACCTTCATCATTAACATTGTCCCTTTTTTTCAACCAGCGTTTGCAATGCCAGGACGAATTTTTACTGACATTTTCTGTGGCTTCGACAGCCCCCTGGCCTCCGCCATTTTGGCCAATGGAGGCCAAGTATTTCGAGTGGACATTTTACTGGACAAATTTATGGATATATTCAATGATGATTTCTATGAACAGCTACTGCGATTCAGTGCATGTGGCAAATCAGCATACATAGCTTGCTCTCCCTGTTGCGGTGAGTATTCTCGTTTGAAACTTAAACCAGGACCAGGACCTAAGCCTCTCAGATCTCCTGATCATTTGGGCGGACTCCCAGATTTGACGATGCAGGAGACGATTCGCCTTCAAGATAGCTTTTTACAATTATCCAGAGGGGTCAACTGTTTACAAGCGGGGTACAGTTCTGGTTCCCATGGCCATTTGGAGCAACCTCCAAATGCGGTGTCATGGCAGGAAGAAGTAGTCCAAGCCTTTTTGATCCAAGCATGCAGAGTCTGCGTGAACCTCCCAGCTTGTCTATATCATGTGGATATTCATAAAGCGTGGCTTCTTGCAACAACTTTGGAAGCACTTTCCTCCATGGGGGGTAAATGTCATCATCCACAAGGTTCCCACCAATCCATTGTGGGCACACGAGACGAGCACGGCAATTTTCAAAGCAAACAGACGGCACAATACCCCAAGGCACTAGCAGAAGCCTTTGCCAAAATTGTTGGCCCTCTCATATCTGGACCTGGGGGAGAGTTAACTTTTTCAGAGGCTATGAAGAGCCTCCCACAGAAGACAATGTCGGAACCACCTCAAGCTTATCAAGACGGCGGTGGCCTATCTTCATTTCCAGATTGGTCCTATCCAAGAACAGCGCTTACAGACCCATTCAAAGACCTTCGAAAAACCTTTTTCGACATGATTCTGCAGAATAGCCATCACAAGCGACTACTTTGCCATTTTCATATGGGGGACCCTAACCCCCCTTTTTCAGAAACAGAACTGGAGCCCTTTCGACAGCACCTGGTCAATTGGATGCAGGAACGTCACCTGGACACTGATTGGACAATTCGAGACCACCAACCAATGCACCTGAATATTTTACAATCTCTGTCAAAATTTCTGGAAGATGAAGACACCGGTCTTTTTGATTCTCTCATTGCAGGAGTCCCTACTGGATTTAATGACGATATTCCTCCATCCAACTGCTTTGCGACGAAAACAGATGACGACAACCTAGGTCGTCAACCACTCAGTATCCACATGGATAATTGGCGCTCCTCTTCCGATAGACTTGAACTTACGGACGAACTTGTCCAAGCAGAAGTCAATCAAGGATGGGTGGAACCATTTGATGGCACAATTGAAGACGCACAGACACGCTGGCCATCAGGAGTCGCTATTGGTCGCCTGGGCATTGCGATCTCAGACTCACGAGATCCTCGACTGGTTGTTGACAGCTCAATTTGCGGCACCAATTCTTCCTGTAAGGTTAGAGAACATCAAGCTCTCCCAACCTCTAAAGATGTATTGCGAACATTCCCCCTCCGTGACAATGATGACGAACTGGGTGGCCTATCACTGGACATTAAGGCAGCCCATAAAAGGGTGGTCATTCGTGAATCTGAACGAGGCTTACTAGGATTTTCGCATGCAGGTCGCCTATATTTTTATAAAGTGGCACCGTTCGGAGCCATCTTCAGTGCGCATTGGTGGGGACGTTTAGGTGGCTTTTTGGTCCGCCTCTGGCATTTACTGATCTACATCAAGCACGCCCTGTGGCTTTACGTAGATGACTTCCTCTTTTCGCAAAACTGGAAAGTTCTTCCTCTGTCATCAGCATTCATTTGTATTTTCTTTCAACTGATGAAGATTCCCATCAGCTGGAAGAAATCAGTGATTTCCAAAGAGTTGCAATGGATTGGTTGGAGATTCAATTTTTCTGCGGGATTGGTATCCTTAGACCCGACCAAGCGCAAAAAACTGATCAACTTGATTGATGCTATCTCTGGAAAGACCTACATCCACAAACGCGACATCGAGCGATTCCTTGGCCTGGCAATGTGGGTAACTCAGTTATTTTCGGGCATGCGACCTCTACTTCAACACTTTTATGCAGATTTATTTTCATCTCCGGCTTCCCTGTATAGCATTGACCCGGGCATGTGGCCAGACCTTTGGAAACACCTGAATGACAGCCTTCAATTCATTTCTGTACCCCCAGGCACTGGGATTCCCAAAGATGGTCTTTTAGTTTCAGTTCGACATCAACCTGTTTCTACAAAAACAGATTTGACAAATATTAGACTTTCAGAACGTCGACTCTGGCTACGGATACGAAATCCTAATTCCAGCAAAAGAACTTTGAGTAAATCTAGTGTACGATGCCTTCAGCTTTTTCGTACTTGGATCATGCACCTATGTCCACTACGCTCTATGTACCCGAAACCAATTTGGCCGGTATTTTCAGCAGCCGATGCCTGTGCGATGGGATCCACATTTCAAATTGGCGGTTTTATTGCGTTGGATGAACACAAATTTTGGTTCTCTGAACCATTCACTTTTACAGAAGTCATTGAGCTCGGATTCCCCATGAGATCTGAAGCTCAAAATGACATCGCATGCTATGAAACTCTGGCCCAGATGGCTTTACTGTACACATTTGCCTCTCAATATCCTCATCAACGTCTCCGAGTGACACTGCCAACTGTGAGCGACAATACCTCAGCTGAAGCTGGTGTCAACCAACTTTTCACCACCAGCGAACCACTTTGTTTCTTTTTGGAGAAAATTGGCCAACTCAGTAGTTATTTAAATATAGATATGGATACTTCCCACATCAGCGGCATTGACAATTCGATCGCAGATCTTTTAAGCAGATGGGACTTTTCATCTCCTCTTCCACCTGGTTTCACACCATCCAATCGGGTCAACCTCACATTAGCTGATTTGTGGATGATCAAATCATCCTTGCGCGTGGTTCCACCAGATCTTCAACTTCTTTGGTCACTACCCAATTCCAAATTTTCCGGTGCTGATTTGATCCACTCTTCGTTTGGTATTTTAATTATGCGTTTCAAACCAACACCGTTTTATAGTTTCATTTGGTCGATTGGATCCATAAAACTTTGTCGCTTGAAAGGATGCAGAAATAGCATCCAAAACAGACAAATCAACAGCACCGGAAAAAAAGGAAGAGCCTGCTTGAGTAGCCCATTGATTTGTGAGGGAAGTGAATTAAATAGAACTTTTCATGTACTTGTTCATGGATGTTTTATTTAATCAACCCCGCAACGCTGGTTCAAGCACTTCACTCACAACATCAATTGCTTTGGTCTTGAATTTTCCCCACCCTCCCTCAACCTTAACTAATTTTTTATTCATGTTATTCTGTTTCTGTTCGCTTTCATTGTGGAATGGGGTTTATTCGCAATCGGTTTTCTCTATTCCATTCACCTTGAGGAGTGGGGACTTCGCAAACTCAGTTTCACTTCAGTGCTTTCTTCGAGCCTGAAACGGGAGTCTTGTTGATGATTTTCAATTCTCTTTCACTTGTCCTCTTTGGTCCCCCTTTTCAACCTCAGACTTCCTTCCAGGGTTCTTGAAAGTGCTGAGCGTCCGAAATGGCCATCTCCAGTAAATCTAGCCCTTGTCATCAGATGATCACTATTTGATATTTTGTTGCTGCTGCTTGGTTCTTCACTGCTTGTGATCTCCATTGGGCTTAATCACCTCGATTTTCTGATGGATCGGTCGATTGGATCCATAAAACTTTGTTGCTTGAAAGGATGCAGAAATAGCATCCAAAACAGACAAATCAACAGCACCGGAAAAAAAGGAAGAGCCTGCTTGAGTAGCCCATTGATTTGTGAGGGAAGTGAATTAAATAGAACTGATGGATTGCTGTGACCCTGCTGTGACCCGGTCGTGGCGACTTTTCCGCAAACGGCTTATCAACATTCAAGAAAATTGCTCTGACTTCAGCCCTCGACTGTAATAAGCATTTGTATTGCAAAAAACAATACAGTATGCCTGCATATTAGTTTGCAAAATCAAATTTGCACTGTGGCATCCAAATTTTGGGAGTGCCGCAATTTTGCCCATCTGAATGTGCCAAGCTGTTAGAGTAAACGGTTTCCAGTGGTGTGTTTGCATGTCCGACATGCGGCTACGGGTCAAATTACATGACCCTAAACTCATTGAATGAATCCGTGAACCCCAGTCGCCATGTCTTAAATTTTGACCCAGGCCCATGAAGGGAATCTGAACCCCACCGAGGTAAAAGGGCACGATTGGTTGGAAATTGATGGAAATTGTCTGATAGGTGTCATGTTTTGGAAGGGGCTCAGGCTTGCGGTTTGTGGATGTCATGGCTTCAGCCTGGGTTTCCTATGTTTTCGTAGCTCATTGCGTGGCACCCCCGTAGCTCATTGGTACTCCCTTCCTTCCAAATTTGACTGTGCTTTTGAAAATTTGGTTTCAAAACCTCCCCTGTAGTCGGTACCTGCAAATTGTTGACCTGTTCCACAAGCAGCACTTGCGGATGTTCGCGGAACTTTTGGATCTCAAAGCATTTGGCTCTTAATTTCGACGATTTTTGCATTTCACATCGCATCGCCATGGTAATTGGAGCAGTGGTGGCCCTGTGGGCTGCGACTCTCGCGGCGGCAGATGAAAATTGCCTCTTGCAAACTTTTCCGCCCACCCAGGAGTTGCAAGTGGAGGCCTGGTAGGGGCTTGCAAGGTTGGGAGAACACCCCAAAAAAATGTTGCGGGGGAAGACAAAACGGGGTGCCAACTGGATTGGGATAGGTGATGAAAACTTCAATTTGGGAGGGAGTTTCAACATTGTCTGTTTGGTGTGAAATCTTCTATTTGTGGGCTCAAAAATTTTGATGTTTTTTTGAAAACCTTGAGGCCTTGACCCGGACAAACACAGAAAGACAACACAAGTGAAGAACCAAATTGCCTTTTTCTAAACAAATAGTATTTTAAAATCTCATTGACATGCTGAAATAGTGGGGTCGGCAATCTGCTAGATTCTGCAGCTACATCCATGTGTGCCCCAAAAGTTGATTTGCTAGAATCGGCAAACATGTTTTTTCGGATTGATGTGCTGGTCAATTTCGACGTGTACTGTGAAAATGGGTTGATGATTCGTTATTTTTTCGTATGGTTCGTTGTGTTATGGTCATGTGAATTTGTGCCAATATTTCCACAAAGGCATTCTTCTCGTACTAGTCCACAAAAGAAAACGATTTGGCCCTTGGAAACTGAGGAATCAACTATGGCAGATCTTGTATTAGCGCCTGATTGGCAATTCGAACGGACATTGGAGGGCCAAATTTTTACTGTAGATTGTTGTGCCTTGAACCCTCGTAGCCAAAATTAAATATTTTCTCCAAGAACAAGTGTATTTTCGATCCTGGTGAGGGAATTTTGACAATGGTGCAAAGGCACAAGGATGCCAGATCGTGAATTGGGGGTTTCTTAAGTCATGGGGGATCCCTGTTCGCCACCATGACAATGGTCTACTCACTGGATGATCACCTGGTCCAATGGGAACTGAATATGGTGTTGTGCATCAAGTTTGACCCCAAAAACGATCCATTTTCTCGGTGATTCCACTTGTTTTGCTTCCAATCTCTCTCTTGATCATCCCACATGAATGATATTTCTTGAGTATATAGGGTTGAAACTTTTCATCCAACATACTGCGGGTAGCCGAAATTCCTGGAATGGTCAATCCTCATGGCTGGTCCATGGCTGTGGTGATGTGATGCCCCGAAAGGACGATTCGATGCAGTTGTCCAGTACAGCTTGTATCCATTCCGAAGAGTATTGTACTCCATGATCTCAAAACATTAGTACTAGCATCTACTCCCATATATATATATACACATACACAAATAAACCTATACACTGCAGGAATATCTACTGGAAACAAGGCCATGATGTTACAAATGATTTGCTGATTCAACAGTGCTGCACTTTATCCTGTCTGAAGTCTGATGAGGACCCAGCAGAGAGTTTTGGTTTCGGACAGGTCATGACAAGCAAACTATGGGGGGCAATCACACAATTTTTATCTGTTTCTTCTTTTGGAGGGCCCAACAATTGGCACCCCATATTTTTTTGTTTCATTACATTTCAATTGAATCATTTCAGGCTTGGTCTACACTGTCAACTGATCCAAGTCAACATTTCAGTCTTTGGAAGCCGGGGCTACGCCTGACCCTAGCCCTAGCCACGTCCGAGGACCAACCGATCGCGTGTCCTGAGGGCTTTGCGGATTTCAGCTACAACTGGACGGGCGTGGCCGGATTTCCCAATGGCGGCCCCTTGAGCAACGGCCAGGAGATTGGGCCCAACATTGAATTGGATGCATGGCTGCGATTAATCAGTTGAGTCAGCAGTTAAGATGATTTGAAGATTGCGTGGCTATAGTGGTTGGGCCCCCACCACATATTTTGGGTTTATGCAGGACTTCTCAGGAACTGTGTGGCGGAGTCTCTCGAAAAAGGGGTTAGTATTTTGAGCACACCGAAGCCATCTGTTGAGTTGCGTTGGAGGTGCCCAACTCGATGTTTCCCAGCAACGGGGTCAGATTTTTTTTGATCCTCCCAAAAAGTGATCGGTAGCAGCAGCTGACTATTCAAACATCCTTTGAGGTTGCAGGATGCTTGAAGTGTGTAGCATCGCCCTCTACAATTTGGCCCCCCAAACTTTCAGGTTTTGTCCCCAAAGTTTCTCCTGAACCCCACTGCCTAGACTCAACAGCTTGGACAATAATTTCAGCCAAACATGTGTTAGATAGGAGTTGAAAACATGTCTGCTGGGTGTGGATCAAAGTTCAAAAATCATCTTCACTTCCATTTTTTTACTGAGACAGAAAAGAACACATAAGGAGAAAAACATCAGTAAGCCAACACGTTTCAGGATGATTGGTACCCCCCCAGTTATAAGTTGGTTTTATAATCCCCATGAACAATAAAATTTCCTTAGATAGAACCCTGATAAACCCTACTTATTAAAACCCCGGTAAATTCTATTCCTGAGCTGCCCCATGTTTAGCTCGAAGGTGGGTTTCAATGAGACAATGGGCGGCCCCTGCATCGGCGCGGCCATTTGGAACATCACCAACAACGACCCTGCCTCTCCAGGGGCTGACACAGATTTGCAACTTGGAAAGACTAGGAAAGACTTGGAAAGACTTGGAAAGACTTGGAAAGACTTGGAAAGACTTGGAAAGACTTGGAAAGACTTGGAAACTGAGATGGAATGAAGATCAAACAAAACCAGGCGGCAAAATCTGCTTAGAACATCTTAGAGCCTTGGAAATAGCACCTCAACAGCCATAGTGGACGGGGTTGTCAACTCCGGGCACCCTTGGGGTGCCGGCCTGGCATCCCGGTGTCTTGGGGGTGTCGGTGGGAAATCGACCAATCCCAAAACATCCCAAAACACCAAAGGCTGCAATAGGCACTGAATCCAACTGCAGGGGTGTGATCCGGATGACAGGCAATCAGATCACCGAGTTCGCTTTTCTCACCTTTCAACACGATTACACCCTCCTAGAAATCCTGGTTTTTTTCGGCCCATTTCAATTCTTCAGGGGATGGGATCAGTATCGACCATGCTGGAGGGATTTTTGATAGATGCACCGGTTTTGGTTGGAATTCACGAGAAGCATTCGATGTCACGTATTTAACAAACGGTTTTAGGTTTCATAGTTCAGGTAAGAAAAAATGTTTTCAAATTTAATATATAAATGGGCAAACGCCCTGGTGCCGCCGACCCCCTTTCAAGGGGGAGGAAGGAATGCGCGCATAGACTGTAAAATGAACGAACATGGATAAATGAAGAAATAACCAGATGAATAAATACATATATAAATACATATATAAATACATATATAAATACATATATAAATACATATATATAAATACATATATATATATGACTCTGACCTTCCAGCTCTAAGTGGGTCTTTTCCAATGGTGAACTGGTGTTTGTGATGAATCTGAATGTTTCAACAAATAAATTCACTCATGTTCAATCCTGCTGATCCCAACCAGCCGCGCGTTTCCCCCCTTTGGCTTTCCAGCAACATGTGTCGCGGAACACAATGCTGGTTTTTTTTGTGACCCTTGGTTGCACTAAGCTGCAAGCCTCCGCAGGTTTTTTGTCCCCCTGGTTATTTTACTGGAGAAACTTGGCAGCTGCAGGGTGCTCAGCATATCCATTGGACATGATCCACCTAAGATAAACCATTATAAACCGCAAGAAACTCAATAATACAACTCAAGAACATGCTTACGGCTCAAGAGACTTGTCGAGCCTTCAAGAGAATGCTCAAGACTGAAGAGAATGCTCAAGGCTCCAGATGATTGAATGGCGCAAGACTGTTGAACTCTCCAAACACAGCCAGGTTGCTCCTTGCGTGCATTGTATGCCATAGTCTTGCATTCCGTTTTTGAATGTCCTGTGGCACGCTTTGCCTTTGACTCGCCAGAGTAGACCTTAGCTGTGCGGAATGAAGTGGATGAACCAAATGGCTATGCACAAAAGGCTCAAATTTAGATTGATAGTTTGCTGTCAAAGGACACACTGCATCTTTGCTTTCAGATCTGCGTCCGGATCGTCCTTCTCGGCGGGCTCATCTTTCTTGTTGCGAGTCTTTGCTGTTCCTTCTGCTTTCTTCTGATCCTGATCCTTCTGATGTTTCTTCTTTGGCGATGCCTTCGTTTTGGGCAATGCCTTTGCTTTGGGCAATGCCTTTGCTTTGGCCTTTGCTTTGGGCATGGCCTTTGCGGCCTTGCTCTTGGGTGCACTGCGTGCAAGTTCTTTCCAGGCTTCTTGTCTTTCCCAGGCTTCATGCGCTTGCGTCGGGTGTTCTCTGGAGGATTGTCTCCAAGTGTCTCAGGCTGGGGCCCTGTCAGGCTGTCTTCCATCTCAGGTGTCACAGGCTGGGACTTAGACGGTGATGGGCTGTCATCCATCTTAGGCGGCATCAGGTTGGTCTCAGGTGTTGCCGGGTTGGCAAACCCAGGTGTCTCCAGCTGATTTGTTTCCTCCTTGACTTCAGGCTGGTTCACTTCAGGCTGGGGCTCATCAGAGATCCCAGGGTCATCAAAGATCCCAGGGCTATCACAAAGCTCAAGGAAATACCCCCGTCTTTTGCGCTCTGCATGCCTCAGCAACGACATGCACCTGACATCAAAGTCCTGTCCAGGGGCAGGTGGACTCGGTGACAGCCCACAAGCAAGATCTTTCTCAGCAAGGTCCCGATCCAGCAAGAGCTCCTCTTGCAGCTTCATCAATCCAAAGAACTGGTACGCAACTTCAGGCTGAAGGGTAATGGGCCCTGTCTCCTCATCCTTGGGCCCCTCCATCTGCGAAGCATCGTGCAAAGCATCCTCCTCCTCAGCAGTGAAGACAGGCCCTCGAGAAATGGAGGCTAAAGTGTCTAGACAGTCAAGCATGGCAATGCAGCGATCAAGAGCTTGTTCTTGACGCCCAGAGTCGAGCTCAGTAGGAGTGACAGCGCCAGCAGCAATGCCCATGTCAGCCTGCGCCATGTTGATAGCATCAACAGTTTGGTCACCCATAGCGTTGATAAAGTTGAAGGTTTCCTGCATTATTCTGAATCAGCAAAAGACCGAAAGAAAAGATGATAGAATGAAACCGTTGTTTAAGTACTATTTATATGTGGTGGATATTCGGTGTGCATGCCTTAAAAATGGGAACCCAAGTAGGTCTTGCAATCCGATGATAGGTTTTGACATATATAAATGATGTTTTGTATGTGTTTTGAGTTTTGGCAACTGCATATTTTTTGTTTCAACTGTAAAATATCAATATCATAAAAATAAGTGTGTTGTATATCATACACATATGTTATACATAATCCGCCGACCCCGGCCTTTGCCAAAACGCTCCAAACCCTTCCGCAGGCCTCCAAGGCAACAACTCTTACAGCTACATGCCCCTGCCATCTGTTTTTCAGGGGGTTCAAGACTGCCGTTTGCCCGGCCTCAAACCCCCCAAACCCTTCCGCAGGCCTCCAAGGCAACAACTCTTGCAGCTACATGCCCCTGCCATCTGTTTTTCAGGGGGTTCAAGACTGTCGTCTGCCCGGCCTCAAACGCTCCAAACCCTTCCGCAGGCCTCCAAGGCAACAACTCTTACAGCTACATGCCCCTGCCATCTGTTTTTCAGGGGGTTCAAGACTGCCGTTTGCCCGGCCTCAAACCCCCCAAACCCTTCCGCAGGCCTCCAAGGCAACAACTCTTACAGCTACATGCCCCTGCCATCTGTTTTTCAGGGGGTTCAAGACTGCCGTTTGCCCGGCCTCAAACCTTCCAAACCCTTCCGCAGGCCTCCAAGGCAACAACTCTTACAGCTACATGCCCCTGCCATCTGTTTTTCAGGGGGTTCAAGACCGCCGTTTGCCCGGCCTCAAACCCCCCAAACCCTTCCGCAGGCTTTTTTCAGGGGGTTCAAGACTGCCGTCTCAAACGCTCCAAACCCTTCCGCAGGCCTCCAAGGCAACAACTCTTACAGCTACATGCCCCTGCCATCTGTTTTCAGGGGGTTCAAGACTGCCGTTTGCCCGGCGTCAAACCCTCCAAACCCTTCCGCAGGCCTCCAAGGCAACAACTCTTACAGCTACATGCCCCTGCCAGGCCCCTGCCATCTGTTTTTCAGGGGGTTCAAGGCTGCCGTTTGCCCGGCCTCAAACCCCCCAAACCCTTCCGCAGGCCTCCAAGGCAACAACTCTTACAGCTACATGCCCCTGCCATCTGTTTTTCAGGGGGCTCAAGACTATCAATTGGCAAGGCTGAAGAGGCTGCAGAGTCCAAGGATCGCTCAACTTGGAGCCAGCTGAGTCGAAAGGAACCAAGTTTCGCGCTAAAATCTGGGACGTGACTGGGTTAGATATAGACCAACCACCTTCAGCCCAACCCCCCAGAAGGGGGGTCGGCGGCACCCGGGCGCTAGCCCATTCTATAATAATAATAATAGAAATATATATATATATACACATATTCATTAGGTACCTACCGCACTAACTTCCCAAAAAATAAATGTGAAATGTATACATACGTGACATGTAGTTACATATATCTGGCCTGCAGGTGGTCAGACTCGGGATCATCAAGCTGAGTGTCAGCAAAGGCAACCGCAGAGAAAACAACATAAGTGGGATAGATAAGTGGGGATAGAAAAGTGGGGATAGGTAAGTGTGGATAAGTGGGGATAATTGGGGATAAGTGGGGAAAGAAAAAGTATTGCAAGCTGGATATATGACACTGTATGGCGCATTTGATTTCCATAAAGTCATAGCCAACTGTTTGTGATAAGATAATTATACTGGGAAAAACTGGCAACGTTCCGTTAAGCAGCTGGCGTTCCGTGAAGCTGAGGAAAGCCACCGTCATGGTTCTTTCCTTCCATTGCCTTGCTGGACAAGGACCGCAGTTGATCATGTGTGGGACGAACATATCGCATAGATACACATAGATGCAACATCCAGACGGTCAATCTCAAATTGAAAAGGCACCGCTTCACAATCTTCCTGTTCATCGCAGTCCTGCACTGTGTTGACATTGTGAGAAATTTTGCAGATGATCACAAGATGAGAGGACAACTAACTCCATGCCTTCAGCACTGTGACCCGATGCAGGATCGCTGGGCGCAGGTCCACTTCTTCTGAATGCTGAAGCCGGTGGTGTGGTACGAGTCGTGGGACTTGGTGAAGTTTGAAGATTGTCAGAAGCAATCAAACGTCGTAGATCAAAAGCCTGGGATTCAGGGATGATGGATGAGAACTTGTTTTTCTTTGTTGGATGCATAAACCACTTGATGATTGACGATGACCGATTGATTCACGATTTGTGTCGGGAAAATTGTTGATTGACTGATTGAATCTTCATTCGTTTGAGGAACAGGTGGTCGAAGACAGGTGGTCGAAGACAGGTAGTTAATGGCACTTCCTCGACTTCGTCATCATCTAACTCCAAAGAAGCACTCATTGCCAACTTCAAGAGTTAGGCTGAGCCCTCTAACCAAAATCACTGCGGACACTCGAGTCGGTGGGTCTGTTGGGCAAAGTAAACCGACATGGCATGCTCAGGCCAAGCAATCAACTCCATACAGAGTGTTGACCAAACGCCAACCAATCCTTTTTTCACTGCGATAGCAATACGCAGGATGCCCCAATGTTCCATGACTTGTTCCGGCAGCAAGAGAATATGTACGATATTCATCGATACTCTATAATATAATTTTTCCTAAATGATTTTGACTGATAGGCAGTAAAACATAGTACAACTGTGGATGTGATATGAATGAGTTTGCATATTGGAATGAAAACTATGAATATCAACCCTCCACAACTCGTACTGCCGTCCTGATGCTAGCCAAACTATGCCAAAATGGCACATGTTTTCTGACTTTTGCTGGCGGCTTGGCCAGGAAGCAAAATTTCAGAGGCTGCACGCTGGGAAACTCAGAGAGCTTCAAGGGCTGGAACTTTTTTTGTTATGTTTTAGACATGTGCGGGGTACTTTCCAATCATAGTTCTCCATGCAAGCCGCCCTCTCAGGATTTGTTTGTGCCAGTTTGGCCGCAGTGGCGCAAGCACACAGAATTTGTTTTTTTTTGGGGAATCCTTATCAGTTGCTTTTCCACTATCAAGTTTCCTCAGCACTGCCCCTGCCATGACACCCGTTGAAGCGCTACAATGCCATTACAACAGTTTCACTGTGGCCTCACCACGGTCGAGGTTTCCGACCAAACAAAAGACAGGTCTGATAGGCATGATCATTTTTGTTCCAGCTGTAGAGTTGCAATCCAGCCTCAATGGAAGAAGAGCTGGGGCATGATATAAATAAAAGGATGGGACACGAACAATCATTAATGCAAAGCAAGGAGCCGGACTCTCCATGCCAAGGTCATGCTGCTTGCGCTCTTGGCCTTGCCGATGTCCAAGGCACTTCCCATGTTCTTGAGGGTAAGTCCTGCTTCTTTTTTCCCGCGGCATTTCTTGCCTTTTTTTTCCTTTGACTAAGTTGGGAAGCGTAGTGGACAAACTGTATTGTCCTTTTGGACAACCCAGGGTGCGGTGGGTGGGATGTTACTCCCTCTCATCTGTCTGTTCTCCTTGGGTCTCTGGATTTCTCACCTTTGCGCTCTTACGCGTTTTTTCTCCGCGGCTTCTGCATTGTTTGTGCTGGGTTCGTGGTTTGGCTTTTACGCTACCGCGATTTGAATTTCCACACGCGCCAAACAATGCAAAATCTCACAAACCCATTTATTTTCCAGCTCACAGGTTTTTCGGTAAACAATAAGTTTACTTGTGCGGTGTGATGCTTCAAGTGGGTTTTTATACTTTCAGAATGTTTACTCAACTTGGAAGTTGCTCTCTTTGCTTGTGATGTTCTTGTTTCGCTACAAACCATTTCTGAACACTTTTTATAAAATGTTTGGAATTCTTGGCATCTTTCTGGGCCGACAAAATGCCTAGTGGTTGCACGTTTACTTGGAAGCGAAACAATAAGTTGCTCTCTTTGCTTGTGATGTTCTGTTTTTACTTCTATTTTCGTGTAGCTGTGGGGCTGAGAAATTTTCAGTTACCCACCCTCTGCCTCCCCTTTCTTTTGTTTGTCGTTCTTTTTATAGAACCGTTTTGTCACTTCGAAGGGGGGACGAAGCTCCAGCAGCAAGTTGTGCCTTTTGTCTTTGGATTTTTACATCCAACCGTGGAGATATGGTTTTTCACTCAATCGGACTTTTACGTCCTGGATCTCATTGCGTGGCATTCATCCACCATTGTAGCAAAAAGGGGGTTTCGTTTTTGTCCGAGTGTTGTGCACGCGAGTTTCGTTGTTTTCAGTTTGCGGTTTGATTGATGTCACTTTTATTTCCACGTTTTCGGCGTTTTGATTTGGTTCTGCGTTAGTCAGTTTGGTTCTGGCAAGGTTGGTTGAAAAGGGCAATCCTCTTTGACATTTTTCTTACTCTCCGTGGGAGCATCGTCATCATCCAAGACGAACACCAGGGTTTTTGTAGCCTTCCAGCCGTCCTCAACTTGGATGTGGTGTGACGCCTCTATCTTCACCTGCAGCGTGTGGAATTTTGATGAATTTGGGCTGAAAAACATGTCAAGTTGGAAAACATGTGTTGGAAAATGTTTGAAAAACATTTCATTTGCAAGGTGGCGGCCTCTCCGACATCTTGCATGTCTGTGAGGATCGGGGACAGAGTCACTGCTGCCTCCAAATTGTCCAGCTGCTGCAAGTGCTCAGGAAGCCCCTTTTTCTCCATGATGATGTATGTATCATCTTTTGCTTTGAAGCTGAACCAGCGCGTAAAGCTACTGTCCTGTGTGATTTCATCACCTTCCTTAATTCAGAACTGATGCTATGAATTTGATGACGTATATACCGTATATGTCCATGTGGGGATGAGACACAAGGGCACAGGAAGCCGTAGGACATGCCAACAGTAGCAGAAACTAAATTGAGACAAGGTGTCCAAATCCTCGGGGAAACAGGGATGATATCCCAGATTACATTGCCCAAATGTTATGTAAGTAATCAAATGCGATCAAACATGGTTTGGAAAAGTTCAGCATAACTTTGATCTTTGAACCTTCCAGTCCTGTTTGAATGCTTGGCCAACACGGCCGAAAGGCTCAGGGACTCAATGGTGTTCAAGGACATTAAATGTCCACCCCCAACACCAATGGGATCGAGTGAGCAACAAAAATCCTTCGGTTTTGTAGATGCACCTCCCATATGACGTAACTACAAGATCATAGTTAAGGAAATTCTGTTGTGCATAAAAAATCATTCCAAATGATAAGTTGTATGATCTCAGTATTGACTCCATATGCAGAAGGCATGGACCCAAGCCTCCTGTGGTTGCACAACCAGCCGCTTCCCTCTGCATCTTCTGAACCCTGTCCCCCTTGAGGAAGGTGGACTTGCCATGGCCGATCTGAAAGCAATCAGTGGTCAGCGTGACATCATGGTGGGCTACCTCAGAACAGTCAGCTCGTGCGAAAGGGGGGCTGCCGTGCTGAAACATGAAGAAATGCTGAGAATGATTGTGGCAGTGGAAAAACATCATGTTGTGTATCATAAGATTTGATCGTTGCCCGTGCTTGAAGTGTACTGCGCCAACGGAAACGAAGCTCAGGCTGGTGCTGTCGAGGTGGGACTGGAGATAGCAAAAGTCCATGGAATATGTGGATCGTTGTGGGTAATATGTTATGTCTATCATTTGGGGCTGGTACAGTTTATCCATGTAGATTATCCCAGGCATGATGCTCTTGCAGGGGTTTATGCGGTTTTCCAAATGAATACCATAGCTATTGCCGTGTGTGGAAGATTTGGAGACTGAAAAGGGATCAACAGCTGGTATTGCCGATGGAGGAAGCTCGCAATGAAGACAGCTACGGCAGCCACCCTTTTCTTTGATTAATTACTTGTTTTAGGATGCCTGTCAGCGGAATGGCGTGTGGATTTTTTTGGTCCCTGTGGTGTTGAAGTCTGCAAGCTTTAGTGCACTTTTGCTATGACAAACATAGGCCTCCAGGGTTGTGAAGTTCCTTAAATGGGAACTTTAGGCGGCTTTGTTTGATAAAATACGACGGCATGAAATTGTGCACATCTTGATTGGAGTCTGAAGCTGTGATTATCATGGTTGGCCCGTCCTTGTGATAAGCTTTTGGCTCGGCGTGACAACCTGACAGTGCAAAAATATTTGGCCGCAGTCTGAAGCTGCCGTCCTTATGTTTGTTCAATCCTTTGAATCTGGCATGTTTGAAACCACAGCAAATCCCTGAATTGGCATTGCTCTACTTGCCTGGTTGATGCAGAAAGGTCTCATGGCGATCACAAGACAACAGTAGCAATGAGTCGGTAAGTAGATGGGTGCTTCACGTTTATACATGTTTGTTATGCCGTTCAGTGCGGCAGAGCTTCGGGCATATCGTGCCAAACTGCGGAATGCGCGTGGTGTTGGTGCACGTGCAAAGCGGGACAAGCTGTGCCTTGGCATTTTTGGCAGTGAGAAGCTGTGACGCTTCAGAGAAGATTGTGAGTTATAAGTGTTGCGTTGCATTCTGGGTACTGGTAGAGCAATACATTTCCATTTTGGTATATTTGCCATACTAACTTGAAACATGTAAAGGGCAACTGCTGAAGCGCTATGGGGAAGCCAGGTGAATCCATTCTGTTGCTTAATCAAGCGCTGCAGGAAGAAGATGTCGGGCCGCAGCGGTCAGCGGCATCGTGCCAGGACATCTGCAAAGGCGTGGCTTCTTTCGTGGACATTGGCGTCCCTGGTGACGACATTGGCAAAAGTTCGCCCAGAGATGCAGCTTGGCGAACATATGCATGTCGGAAGCAGTCCCGGGGTACTGAAAACAGTGAAAAAAAGAACACTATGCACTGGGAGGTATGTGCGCACTGCACGCTTTCAGTCTGAAAACGCTGCAATGAGTCATGTTGCGTTGACAGCATTTTTTGCAATGTAATTTGGGGAACGAATAGGTGTGCGATCAATGGAGTCCTCATTTTGTTTTTTGGGCTTTTGGAAGCCGTGGTCTGTAGCTCTTTGAAATGTCTCTGCCCCACCGAGCTTTGCAGGGAGAAGAGGTGCATCAAATGCCTTCCCACGGTTGCCGTGAACCTCTTGAAGGACCCGGCCTTCGGTTCGCATCGCCGGTGTGAACTGGACTGGCGACTGGACGCGGGCAGTTTCGAACTCTATGAAGCTCCTTGGCTTTGCCTTCCCTACCATGCGTTGGCACCTTTTGCACCGATGTATCTCCGCCATCGTTTTTCTATTTTTGCCATCATGCTATTGCTATACATGAATCGGTGATTTCATGCTGAATGGCACGGGGTTTGCCAGTTCTGCAATGGATTGTACATGCGGATTGGCAGATGATACGAAGACTCGATGATCTTGGACGTTGTTCTGCCAAAGGTGCATGTTTGCAATGTAAGGCGTGCTTGGGGCAAAGCAATGTGGTCCAACTGGTGCTTGTCTTTCTCGTGCGTGCCACTTTCTCAGGTCTAGTTGCACCAAGATGGACGAACGATAGTGCAGGAAAGGATTAACCTATGACATTGTTTAGGGGTTGACTCATGGAGAGGGTATGTTGGCTTGCATTGATAATTGAGCAAGGATTTTTTTTGGAGGACAGCATGGGATGATCCGAAAGATGCATGGGGCAGGTGAAGGGCTGCTGCCGGCATTTTTGGCCACGTATGGTGCAGTGTCTGACTTCTATGCGGACATCCGTGGCTGGCAAGTGCAGGCTGCTCTGGTCACCCGTGCGTTGGTTTTGCTGAAGTTGGGCAGTGCTACGGCTCAATGTCGGGTTGTGAACTTCAGTGGCTTTGCCGCAGCGGGAAAGGGCCACTGAAATGAATGAAACTTTCGTGGAGAACTCGCCAGGGAACAGTTGCGCTCCTGAAAAAAACCCTGACTGGAATTGATCAATGATGTTGGGCCCGAACATTGTGAGCCCTGCTTGTTGCCATGTTGCAGTGGGCCCGGAAACTGAAGCACATCTAATGCAAAGTGCGGAAGAAAAGAAAGCTTATGTGCAAGTGGACCATTCCAGAAGAAGTCGGCGGGACGCTAGCAAAGCTGGTGAACAATGGCCCCTAGACTCGAAGAGGTGAGTAGTGGGAGGCAGTGGGCAGGGTGATGTGGGATTGCGGTTGTGTCCATCATGGTGAAAGCAGACTTTGGCGGTACAAATAGTGTGGGGTGTGTTTCCCCGTTGAAATGTTATTTCAGAATGTGATCTTAAGGCGAAAATTCTGTGATTAAGGAGTTGTCACCCTGCATTGGGAGTATCATCATGAATAGCAGGAAGAGACATAAAACCATCTATCGGGGGATTACTGTAGGTTTAGGTGGCGGCACCAGTAAGGGACTGACTTTTTGTACATTTCATGCAGATGGGGTGGGGTGGGGATGGGGGGGTGGGACAGTAACGTTCATGTCTGTGATCACACCTCATCCTGTCTTGAGATCTTCTCTTGCACCTGATCACACACCTGAGTCCACGCTTTAAGATCTTGTCTTGCACTTGATCACACACTTGATGCCTGTTTTGAGTTTTTGCCTTGCACTTGATTATATACTTTATGCTACGGTGGAGATCTTCTTATGCACTTGACCACACACTTGATGCTATGCGTTGAGATCTTCTCTTGCACGGGATCACACGCCTGATTCTACGCGTTGAGATCTACTTTTGCACTTGACCACACACTTGATGCAACGCTTTGGGATTTCGCTTGCAGTCGATGAATTTTTTGAAACTTTTTTTTTTCGGCTGCAATGAAAAAATCACGGTTCGCTACACCGAAACCTGCACGATCCAAAAGTAGACCCACGGTTACAGCGAATTCCCAGCACGTGTGGAGCCCTCCTGCCAAAATAAGTGCATTTTGCTGTGGTTTTGCAGTAGCGCCCACTGCAAGCGGTGATTGTGAATCCGCTTCACCTCGGGGAGTCTGAAAAACCACGCTACCTAGTTTTAGAGTAGGGAAAATGAATATCCAGCAGAAGTTTCTTACTCTATCCGATTTAAATGTGATCAAACAACTCTATCCTGAAGTGCTGGGAAAACACAGGTAAAACACATGGGTGCTGGGCCTACATTTGCAACAAAATCTAGATCTCTTGTGCCAAGACTGCATTGATGAATTCATGGAGCATCGAAGCGTTAAACCAAGGTGCTCCACCATCCCAATTTTGGTTGAAAATGAGAATCCACCACTGATCATGTTTCGCAATGTGGTTAGAATCGATCTGAAATAACCCTATGGCGGGGTCCATCTTCCCATTATGAGAATGCTGGAACATGAATGAGTACGACTTGAACATGATACCTGGCGCAAGTACACCCCCGATACTGACAGTGGCATAGTAGTTGGCCTGTACCCCTCATTCCAAGCAGGTGATATAAAGAAAGTAAGGCCATAGATGGAGCGGACTGAATTGCGTCGTCGGAATAAGAGATGATTGTAGTGTCTAAGTGGGACTTTTGGCAGGGACCATTCAATGACTCATGTTTTCCCGCTGGTGCGAGTATGTCTCCTGATCCATGTGGCAGGCCAATTCGAAGCAGTTGCGCAAGAACTGTGGCAGTGCAATTGTGAAGTCCGTGCTCGCGAGTTGCTGTCCAGGGTGGCAGTTCTTGACGGCTTCCTTCAGTACCTTATGTTCAGAGACATACAGGTGTGTCTGGGGGTGGGCGTACCATCTGGACACTCAGCGCCTGAACTGGTGTTTATGGTGAAAGGGTTTGAATGGAACAGTAGAGCAATGGTCACGATAGCTCGTTGCATCTGAGATGGCGTCATGTAGGTGATGTTCATGGGCAATGATTGTGGAAAGATTCCAAAGAGCCCGCGGGGTTCTGGATAGAGACACAGTGTGTCCAAGTGTCATGAAAACCAGATAGTAGGCTATGTGAAATCAGCGTTGTTTTTTCAAAAACATTGCGCGTCACAGCATAAAAAGACAACAAGACGTGGCCAGTGACAGAGCCTCAGATTAAGGTATGGGACCTTGAAGGAAGGTTGTTGACGGTTGGTCAGAGAAAATGGCCAGTTGTAGCATGAAAGGCCAACAATAGGTGGCCAGCGACAAAGGCCCAAGTTTGTTCAGATCGAGTGCCGTTGCAGGTTCTGCGTGGGGAAGCTTGCCATTCGGACTATGTAGGCCCGGTTGCGCTTCCATTACTGTGCAAGACTGGGTGTAGCCTCGCAGAGCTTCACAGTCACACAGTTGCAAGGGCATTCCAATGCTGTATATTACTGTGCGTTTGCCTGTTTCTTTTTCTCTGTGTGGTTGTAGTTGCTATTGTCCTTTCTGTCACAGTTTTCCTCTGTGTGGTTGTAGTTACGTTGCTAGCCTTTCTGGAGGGTTTTGCGGTTCAAAGGCCTTGGAAAGGTGCTGCGGGGGTTTCGAAGCTTTTAAGGGGTGCCCAAAACGTGCCACGTAGCAAGCCCAATACAAACAGCTTGTGGAGCCTCGGGAGGTACCATGGCAAAGCAAGCGGGACGCCTTCGAAAGCTGCTGCGGAGGGTTTTGACGTTCAAAGGCCTTCGAAAGCTGCTGCGGGGGTTTTGAGGCTTTTAAGGGGCGCCCAAAACGTGCCACGTAGCAGTTTCGAAGCCCAATGCAAACAGCTTGTGGGGCCTCGGGAGGTACCATGGCAAAGCCAGCGGGACGCCTTCGAAAGCTGCTGCGGAGGGTTTTGCGGTTCAAAGGCCTTCGAAAGCTGCTGCGGGGGTTTTGAGGCTTTTAAGGGGCGCCCAAAACGTGCTAGTAGCAGTTTCGAAGCCCAAAGGAAACAGCTTGTGAGGCCTAGGGAGTACCATAGTCAAAGCAGGCGGGCCCAAAGCGTGTCACGTAGCAGTTTCGAAGCCCAATGCAAACAGCTTGTGGGGCCTCGGGAGGTACCATGGCAAAGCCAGCGGGACGCCTTCGAAAGCTGCTGCGGAGGGTTTTGCGGTTCAAAGGCCTTCGAAAGCTGCTGCGGGGGTTTTGAGGCTTTTAAGGGGCGCCCAAAACGTGCTAGTAGCAGTTTCGAAGCCCAAAGGAAACAGCTTGTGAGGCCTAGGGAGTACCATAGTCAAAGCAGGCGGGCCCAAAGCGTGTCACGTAGCAGTTTCGAAGCCCAATGCAAACAGCTTGTGGGGCCTCGGGAGGTACCATGGCAAAGCAGGCGGGACGCCTTGCAAGCTGCTGCGGAGGGTTTTGCGGTTCAAAGGCCTTCGAAAGCTGCTGCGCGGGTTTTGAGGCTTTTAAGGGGCGCCCAAAACGTGCCACGCAGCAGTTTCGAAGCCAAATCGAAACAGCCTGTGGGGCCTCGGGAGGTACCATGGCAAAGGACAAAGCAGGCACAGGGCCTTGCCGCACACCTACGGTGATCCCGGGCGCCGCCCCGCCTAGGCCACGGCTAGGCAGGGGTCGGCGGATGAGTTTGATTATGCCATTTTAGTTCAGCTTTTGACCGGGGCCGAAATAACATGGCATCAAATTGGTGCCGCGTCTTCTTCACGATGGGCACACGTCAGAGATCTTCAGGCGAAACGGTGACAAATAAAAGGGATCAACATCGATCAACTGTGATGAACTGGGCTTTAATAAGATTTTTAACATATTTTAACCACGTGTCAGTGCGTAAGTGGTAGGGTCCTGTGACTTCGGTGACTGTACCGCCTTGAGGCAGACTTGTCCGAACAATAATGTGGCTTCGGCGCCTTTTTGCAACATCCTGGTGGTACAGCAAGACGGCAGCGCAGCTGGCAAAGTGAACGATTGCAATCCGGGCGGTGGTTTCGCACAGATCAATCTGCAATTCACGCCGCTCCCAGAGAATTCCAGTGAAGTTGGGGAATGGGCTGGGCTGAATTTTTTTCGGTCTTTCTCTTGCTGGGGGCATGATTCACATTTCCGAATCTTTACGCATCACTTGCCGGGTACACTGATTATGTTTCGCCAACACACTGAGATTCTTCATCGAGAAATTGGGGGTCCTGAAGCAGACCCTCATTGCAACAAACTTCACAAAAGTTGTTGAAGAGTAAGATCTGGGGTGCTTGGTTACACTTTCTTGATGTTTCAGTTTTTGAATTTTCTGTATTCCTGTAGACCAGGAAATTGGTTCATGTTAATCTTGTTTAGTCTAACTTTATCTGATTGTATTTAATGTTTGTTGCCCTTAAATCGTGTTTCTTTCTTCCTTTGTGTTTTATTGCATACTATATATTTGGTTTTAAAAATATGGAAACAACCATAGCATTTGATCATCTGTTTTGTTTTGTTTGTATGCGTGACCCCATTCTATCTTATTTTAATCTTATGTATCGGACAATCTCGAACAAATCCGATCCAGAAATATCCAGAACGGGATTTTGCCTCAAATTCTAAGCGTTTTGCGAAACGTGTACTTTTCCAAGAAGGAATTTTCGCTTGATCTCTATGGAGACTTAAGGCCATGGTGCAACAAGTCCATCAAGGGGCCAACGGAGTTCAGGGGAGCATGTTTGCGCAAGAGCATGACAATGGCAAGCAGATTTTAGACGCAGACCAAATCTTAAGCCAAAATATATAGCCAAACAAAAGATACAAAACTTGAGATGGGCCAATGAGAATTGCGCAAGAGTGCTACTATACGTCCTTTTTGCGAGCTTTGGTGGTCCCGTCCAGGAACAACATTCCCATTGCGCGCATGGATTAGGGCCATGCAACCTTGTTCACCAGCGGTAGAACCTCCATCGTGCGGATATCAAAGGGACATGTTGGGTGCGATGCTTTTTGGATCCAAAACGTGCCTTGTTTTGGCCCTGGGTGGTTTCTCGCCATGCGGAAGCAGTAGAGATGCAGGCAGCAGTTTGTTTTCCAGCATAAACACACGTTTCGGATGGCAAAACATTTGCTTCTGAGCAGCAAAGCAAACGTTCGCAACCCGGGAAAAGGTTTGATTTGTGGCTCAGAGGCCCCGTAGAAAGGAAACAAATGTTCCCTGAGCCAAACAAAAAAGGAATGATTTCCAGCTGTAAACAGAACTTTTTCTGCAACTTCTGTCAAAAGAACTCAAAACTTGAAACAAACTTCAGCCTCACTAGTTCTAAAACAGAACAGGGGACTGTGAGAGTGCAATTTTTCTGCACATGACTTGGAAAAGGAACACCAGAAGTTGACAGGGTAGAGAATGGTGTGAAGTGTAGCCCCTCACAGCAAGTTTTCGGTGCGGTCTCCATGAATGTTATCCTTTTTTTTCTCCAACAACGCAGCCACCTCCAAGCTAAGAAACTGGGCGAAGACGGCATAGGCGAATGCCATTTAATTTGAATGCAAGCATCACTCAATCAAAAGAACTCATGTAAAGGTGGCACAAAATTGAGCGGATTATTTTTTGCAGCAAATCAATGGCCATGAAGGATGAAATAGTTCGAGAAGGTTCGTGACGTTCGTGTCCTGATTACGCTGCCAAATTTTGTGATAGTTCCATAGAATTTGTTATCCACTCACTTCATGAGTCATCTTATCCCTAAATTGATTATATGTCATTCTATCCTAAGACTGATACTGGTTGGTGGTTTGGAACATTTTTTATTTTTCCATATATCATATATTGGCAATAATGATCCCAACTGACTAATATTTTCAGAGGGGTTGAAACCACCAACCAGGATACAGTACTCTTCCCTTCAGGAATCCAGGACTTATCCAAGGGCTTAAGCCACCGGTGACCCTTTGAGATTGGCCAGAGCTGAGGGTTCCGATCACTCTGATTGCCCTCAACTTCTGGGACATCGAACAGAACGACGACTTGCAAATCTTTTGGAACAGTGATGGGACGTCATTGGGCTTCAATGTGCTTCACGAATCAGTTACGTCCTGCTTGAGGGTGCTGTTTTTCCCGAGAGCGTCTGAGCGCAGGGTTCTTCCAATAGTGGGGGTCTGTAAAACATCTTCTCATCTTCACATCCTCTCATCTTCACATCTTCTCATCTTCACATCTTCTCATCTTCACATCTTCTCATCTTCACATCCTCTTCTCATCTTCACATCCTCTCATCTTCACATCTTCTCCTCTCATCTTCACATCTTCTCATCTTCGCATCTTCACATCTTCACATCTTCTCATCTTCACATCTTCTCATCTTCACATCTTCTCATCCTCCCATCTTCTCCTCATCTTCTCATCTTCACATCTTCTCACATCTTCTCACATCTTCTCACATCTTCTCACATCTTCTCACATCTTCTCACATCTTCTCACATCTTCACATCTTCTCACATCTTCTCACATCTTCTCACATCTTCTCACATCTTCTCACATCTTCTCACATCTTCTCACATCTTCTCACATCTTCTCACTTCTTCTCACATCTTCTCACATCTTCTCACATCTTCTCACATCTTCTCACATCTTCTCACATCTTCTCACATCTTCTCACATCTTCTCACATCTTCTCTCATCTTCTCACATCTTCTCACATCTTCTCACATCTTCTCACATCTTCTCATCTTCACATCTTCACATCTTCTCACATCTTCTCACATCTTCTCATCTTTACATCTCATCTCACACCTTCTCCTCTTGCCCTCTTGCCCTCTTGCCCTCTCCTTCTTTTCTATTTCTCTCTTGAAGGCGGGAGCAGGGGCAGTGCCAACGAGACGGCACGAAACGCAACCCTTTCGCACGAAATGAGGTTCGATCGTCAAAAACTGAGGTAAAATTGCGATTTCAACTTGTCCGGCGCAACCCTTTCGCACGAAATGAGGTTCGATCGCCAAAAACTGTGGTAAAATTGCGATTTCAAGTCGTCCGGCGCAACCCTTTCGCACGAAATGAGGTTCGATCGCCAAAAACTGACGTAAAATTGCGATTTCAACTTGTCCCGTGCAACCCTTTCGCACGAAATGAGGTTCGATCGCCAAAAACTGAGGTAAAATTGCGATTTCAAGTCGTCCGGCGCAACCCTTTCGCACGAAATGAGGTTCGATCGCCAAAAACTGAGGTAAAATTGCGATTTCGTGTTTCCGGTGAACCCTTTCGCACGAAATGAGGTTCGATCGGCAAAAACTGAGGTAAAATTGCGATTTCAACTTGTCCCGCGCGACCCTTTCGCACGTCCCTTTCGCACGAAATGAGGTTGGATCGCCAAAAACTGAAGTAAAATTGCGATGTGTGTAAAAGCGTCTGTGTGTAAAAGCGTCTGTGTGTAAAAGCGTCTGTGTGTAAAAGCGTCTGTGTGTAAAAGCGCCTGTGTGTAAAAGTCTCTGTGTGCAAAAGCATCTGTGTGTAAAAGCGTCTGTGTGTAAAAGAGTCTGTATGTAAAAGGGTCTGTGTGTAAAGCGTCTGTGTGTAAAAGGGTCTGTGTGTAAAGCGTCTGTGTGTAAAAGTGTTTGTGTGTAAAAGTGTTTGTGTAAAAGTGTTTGTGTGTAAAAGCCTCTGTGTGTAAATGTGTTTGTGTATCAAATGTGTCTGTGTGTAAAAAGCGTCTGTGTGTAAAAGCGTCTGTGTGTAAAAGCGTCTGTGTGTAAAAGTGTCTGTGTGTAAAAGCGTCTGTGTGTAAAAGTCTCTGTGTGTAAAAGTGTTTGTGTGTGTGTGTAAAAGCGTCTGTGTGTAAAAGCGTCTGTGTGTAAAAGCGTCTGTGTGCAAAAGCGTCTGTCTGTAAAAAGTTCTGTGCGTGAAAAACTTTTTGAAAGATACGATGCCAAAGATACGATGCCATATAATATTGTCTTGATACTACTCTTCTCGTCTGCCTGTAATACATCTTTAATATATTGTCTTGTAATATAGTGTCGCCATACTAACAGCAGAAGAAGACTCTGCTCCTCTACGCTCTCGGGCCATCCGTCGTCTAGTTTTTTCTTTTAAAGTGACGATTACGATGAGACAGAAACCACTAGCACTACATGTCCGGGGAAAATTGGTAAGAAGTGTTCTTGGTTTTGTTGGAGCCCTGATCGAATCCCCATCAGAGGGTTTAGCTACAGCGCGTGGTTGGAGTCCCTACATTGATTGGTGGTTGGATGACCGGAGCCCTTGGAAAGTGTTTGAGAATGACACGCATTATGCTATAATTTTTTCCCCATCCTCAATTATTTGGAAAAGCTGACCGGAAAAACATAACTCCTGCTGCGCTGCTATGGTTCCAAGCCTCTCCTAAAATGAAGACCTAGACCTGGTGTAGTGTAGCGCATGTGAGCAGGGCAAGCCCGCCTCTGGCAGTCCAAAGTGGTAGGTTGGAAGATCACAATTTCAAATACGCTATCATCAACCTAAGTGGGAAATCCATTATATAGAATTACATAGGTCAGACTGCCACATATCATGATTCATAGCTGTTTGGTACATGGCTCACAGATTTTCACATGGAAAAACATCTTTCAAGGCTTTTGCCACTGTTGCCACCTGTCCACATTTGTCGAAGTGCCCTATCGAATCAGGTTATTCCAAAACCAGTCAGTCCATTGACATCTCAGAGGGATTTCGAATGAACCGAGGGGATCACCAGCCACAAGGGGGCTGTGGCTGTATTCCGCAGTTTTTTTGGGTTAGGTCCTGATGTTTGTTGAACCCTACCCTTTGAAGTCATTTGAACTACTTTGAACCATTCAAAGTAGGGAGTCCAAATGTTGTCAAATCCCTTGGATTTCTCCAGGATGTTAGGACGAAATTCCGGTCCCAAGATCGCCATATTTTTTCAGGCCAGGCAATGCCTTTGCTCCTGGCACTGGTGGTGTGGATGGAACGGGTTCCGAGTTGTTTCTCAACAAGGAGAAGGCCTGTTTGCCGGTTTTGGACCCGGAAAGTCATGGCATGGCTGGTTGCGAAAAACCGTTGAGAGCCAGGTAAATCCAATCCCATAACATCTAGAGGTATTGGGTAGGTTTACCACATTTTTTTGGTGGTCAAACCATTCATGTAAAAAGCGATGAATTTTAACCACCGATCTCATGTCAGGATCATCTTTAAAAAAGTGGGATGATGATCCGAGCTGACTGTCCTTTGTCTTTTTCAGAGATGCTGAAACCAGCAAAGCGTTTTCTATTTGCAACATTGGATGACACATCAGAAGAAAGCGTACTTTTTTTGGGGATGGGTCAACAGTGTCAACACCTATGAAATTACAATATGTCTGAGGATTTATTCACATCCATTAACAGTAACAAGACAATTATATATTCACTATATTTATATTCAACTATTACAATCTTATTCAACTATATATTCACATCCATTAACAAGATATTTTAAGGTACCATCCGGCTGCCCGGGATTGAAATCTTGAGGTGTCCCAAAAAGTTGGCAACTTGCTGGGAAATTATGTGCATATGCAAGTCACATATATGCAAATCGTAGAACAATCCGCATACGCATGGTAAATGTATATGTAATATTGCCAGCTTGCGCTTTTTGTTCACATTGATCCGTTGAAACCCCATGGCATTTGACATCTCAAGAATCCAGTGGGCTAGTTGTTCCGTGGGAGCTGTTCATGGTCCCGGGTCACGTGGCGGCTGGCTTGGTGGTAGTATCCCATTTGATTAGATCATTCTTTGAGGACTCTCTGAAAGATCAGCTTAAACACGAGTTGTCTGAACTGAGAGTGGAGGTCCATCGAACCAGAACCTTAGTCGGTGATTACAACAGGGTGTTGGAAGGTTGTGAAGCTGACTTGAATAGGCGACGATTCTATTTTGATTTGGTTTGCACATCAAATATCTGTTTTGCCCTGGTCTGCATTGGCATTTGGTTGTGGTATAATTGGACGAACCGGACTATCAAAAGGGCACCACCGGAGGACAGCGATTTTGAGCTGCCAGCATTGACTGCACCGGAAGTGAGTGTGAAGTCAGGCCCTACCAGGCCGTCTGACTTGGCTAAACGGCGTGGCTTGTGACGTGAGACATGGAACGGACTCTCAATATACCGGAGCCTCAAGTGCTAGTTCACTTTCCAGGCGATCCCAATGGCCTCAACTACCATCACAGAGTTCTCCTCCACAAGATTTCCCCAGGGAAGTGGGTCACTTTGACTCCAGATTTGGACTTAGAGATTCATGACCTTAATGTTCGACGGCATGTCGTTTTGGGTCGGCATAGTGGTTTCCCCGATCAATACGTTGATGAAGCTTATGTGTTTGAGGAGATCAGTCGAAATGAACTGGAACGACAAAAGCGATTGGCCAAAACCATGGGTTCAATTTTGGACGATGGTGAGATCGCAGATGTTGCTGCTTCGCAGTGGGTCGTGGCTGACCCCTCCTCCAGCCGTTTTGGAAAATCCCTGCCGTTTGAGCTTGTCGGTGACATTTCTGGCATCGGCACTTACGGGGTTGTTCAATGGGACGGAGAGGTTGAATATGTCCGTGAGATGAACATTGATGATATCTCTGGTTTTGTTGATGAGAGAAAAGAGAGTCTTGGTGACCTTCGCACATTGGGTGACCATCGTGATGGAGCTGGAAAAAGGTATTTGGGGTTCAAGGATGCCTTGAACCTTCTTAGGGAGACCAAGTTTGAAGACTGGCCTTTTCTGGGACCGCGTGCAGTCCGTGAGTACCTGCATGCTATCAGGGATGGACCAGGTGACCTTGCAACATACCACCTGTCATGGGTCCGATCTTCTGGTGTAGTGGCTGGGAGTGCTATCGTGCATGAGCATCATTCACTTTGTGAGGCTTTGCGATTGGCGTTGAGCAAGGATCAGATTGATGTTTCCAACCTTGCTTCCTTTGAACATTTGACCAGAAGATTGCTGACTTTGGAGATTGCAGTCGCCAGATCCCCTGGTAGTCCAGATTTTACTGGCCTTGAAGTGGTTGCCGAGGCCCCTGTTGCTGCCACTGGGCAAGCTTATGTGTCGTCTATGTCATCCTGGATCACTGAGAAGTTGAAGGAGAAGGCGAACATTCAGAAACAGAGTCGTCTCTTCAAGGAAGAATTCTTGAAGAAGACTGGGAAGGGTGTGGACGATGATGACAAGTCTAAGAAATGGAAAAAGCAGAAGGGCAAGGGTGGCAAATCAAGTGGCGGAGCCGACGGCTCCGCGGCGACTTAGTCTGAAACGAGGCTCCTGGTTGGGTGGTGTTGCTGCAGTGCCAGCCAGCTTGTTTTTCAATTTTTGTGCAGCATGGATGGGAACAGACGTTCTCACGGTGATATCTTTCCTCTCCCTTTCAAGACCTTGGAGGCCTCTGTTTGTGAGAGGGGAGTCTCTTTTCCACACCGAGCATTTTGGATCAGCCAGACACTGAACAAGCTTGGTTTGCAAAGTCCGAATTCGTATTCTCAGTCAGTTTTGAGCTCACGACTCCCTCTGAACTCCACTCAGCAATGTGTTTGCGACAGGGTGGAACAGTCCTTAGCTATGCATGGTGGGCCGCCAGATGGGCTCACCTGTGAGAAAGCTCTTGAGACTTTGAAAGGGGTCAAGACCGGCTATGATGGGGTCCCCAGCAATTTAGCGCCTTTTGATTCATCTAAACTGAAGATTTTGGCGACTTCAGTGGCACCCCAGCACATCAAGCAATTTTTGCCGCCTGAAGCACGTAAACTTGTGACCAGCCCGCAAGATTTTGTGTTGAAGCCTCCCTCTGCAGAGCAGCCTGGCTTCAGGCCATACTGGGATCCGGTGCTGAGGTATAATCCTAAGAAACGATTAGGTTTCATCCTTGATCTTTTTAAAGCTGGTTTACTTGTTCTGCGTCCTGCAGTGGCCTCACATGTAGGTGTTTTCTTTGTAAAGAAAAAGTCACCAGATGCTATCAGAATGGTCATTGACTGTCGTGGAACCAATGAGCTTTGCCAAGACCCTCCCACGACTAGACTAGGATCTGCTAGGTGTTATTCTGATTTGAGATTGGAGCGAGATGATGATCAGTCGGAATCGCTGGCTTGGGGTCGTGAAGCTGATGTCAATGACTGTTTTTATCGATTCTCAATCCCTGAACTTGCACACTACTTTGGCATTAATCATCCACTTTCCGCACGTGAGTGGCGTCAGCATGGACTTGAGTTTGACACCATCTATGATCCACACCTTCGACATGACATTGTAGTTGACGATGACACACCACTTTATCCCTGCTTCCGTGCAGTCCCTATGGGTTGGAACTGGGCTCTTTTCCTATGTCACGAAGCTGTCCTGGAGATTGCCCAGCGAGGTGCGCCCTGGGAAGATGGTGTGCTACGGGAGAAACGTGTCACACCACAACTCACGGAGTTTCGGACAATTCTAGGTGTGTATGTTGACAATATCACGATTCTAGGGAAATGCAAAACAGATGTGGAACACAGATGTCGGCTGCTGGAGAAAGCTTTTGCCGACGCCCAGATTCCCATCACCTGGAGTCAACAATCGGCCGTCGAGAGGCTTGAGAGCGTTGGATGTGTGTTGGACTTGAAGAATGGAGTCATTCACAACAAACCGCATCGTGTGTGGAAATTTGCACTAGCTACGGGGGCTCTGCTCAAACGAAGGAAACTGTCATCAGAGGTCTTGCAGGTTTGGACAGGCCATTTCACTTCACTTTGCTCCATTGCGCCCTGGGGACTTGCTGCATTGCAACAGGTGTACAGGTTCATCCAGAAGTCCAACGGAAAGCGGCTTGAAGTGTGGCCCTCAGTTAGGGCGGAGCTCAAGATGGCTTCCTCTCTGGCTTGGCTTACCTGGCGTAACTTATCGGCTCCTATTATGAAAACAGTAGAGACTGGGGATGCATCAACCTCTGGCTATGCACTGATGGCTTGCTATCCTGATGAACAACTAACTTGGCAGTCAATGCGTGTGCATGAGAAGTGGAGGTTTATTTCCATGCCTGCTGGCTTGAAGGATGCCGCCATAAAACCAGACCTTGAACAGTTTTCCCTTTTGTTGAGTGACCTTCTAAAACCAGTGCATCATGATGACCAAGATGAGACCTCAGAAACGATTGGATACGTGCGACACTCCAAGGCAGCGGCAGTATCCACTGAGTACGGGCAGCAAGTGTTGAACTCTCTGCGGGAAGGATCCATGTTGAAAACTAGTGCCGCACGAGCACAGGTTCATGCAAAGCCTTCAAGACGTTTTGATTTGGAAATTCCCGCATTGGTTCAACCTCTGGATGACTATTTTGCTGACAGTAGCAAGTATAGGTTGCTCTGGGCTCGCCGTTGGAAGTATGTAGATGAGAACATTCAGATGAAGGAAGGTAGAGTTGCACTTTCGTCGCTGAAGAGGTCTTCCAGAGTTTCATCACTTCATGGATATAGGAAGCTTACAGTTAGTGATAACCTTGGGGTAGTCTGTGCTTTTAGTAAGGGTAGATCCTCCAATGATAAGCTGAATGGATTGTGTCGACAGTCGGCCAGCATTCAATTTGCAACCGGTATTGTTCGGCACTTGCGGCGCATTGAGACCACTCGTAATGTAGCTGATGACCCATCTCGAAACCATGAACCCAATAGGAGCCAGAAGGTTTCCAAACCGGCTAGCCACAGAGGACTGAGAGCAGTCCGTTTCTGCGAGCGGGAGTTGATTGGCGATGATAGCTCAAGGGAAGTCAGTGCACCCAGCAAGCCTTCAATTCCCCTACAAAGACACGCTTCTGTTTTTCCTGTTTGTCGTGGTAAAGTCTTTTTGGAATTTTTTTCAGGTGGTGGAACACTCACCAAAGCCGTCAGTGATGGGGGTATGTCAGTGGTTGAGCCAATCGACTATTTGAACGGGCCTCACTGTGATGTCCGTCGCAAAGCCACTCAAGACCTCATCATGTCATGGTTGAAAAAGGGTGTTTTTGGATTTGTCCATTTGGGTACGCCTTGCACTATTTGGTCCCAAGCTAGACATGGTGTCAAAGAATCTCACCAGACGCGTTGCAAAGAAGAGGATGGCCTTGAGATGGCTCTGTTTTCAGCTAAAATCATTTCATTATGCCAAAAGATGAGGATCCCTTTTGCTCTTGAGAACCCTGGCAGATCACGTTTGTTTGGGTTTGAACCCCTACTCAGAGCAGTGCATTCCGGTGAACACTGGTTCGTCAATTTCGACATGTGTCAATACGGTGAACCTTGGAAGAAAAACACCACAATTGTGACTTCTTTTCAGCCGTTGTCTCAACTTGCTAGATCATGCAATCACCATTCTCTCATGAAGTGTGGCTCAAAGGCAAGGTCCAGGTCAAGAAACCAGATGGGTCGGCAAGGTATGTCAATAGAACTGCTCTTGCGGGTGCATATCCCAGACAACTGGTCGTTGCATATTCTAAGATATTAAGCCAACACCTGGACTTGTACTCAGATGAGCCTGCCACAATCCAAGCTACTTGGAGCTCTGCGCTCCGGAGTGTTGTCCACCGGAAAGTTGCGAACACCATGCTCCGAAGGGACAGGTTCCAAGTTGAAAGCTCTGACCAAAAGCTCACTCTGCTTGCCGCCTCAGGAGATCGTGAGAAGTTCATTGACTTCATCGCACTTGGCAGGCCGAAAGAGGAAGCGTGGGAAGGGCTCAAAAAGCGAAAAAGTAAGCAGTGAAACAAAGCCATCAAGATACGATGCCTTGATGCGAACAATTCGCCCTGAACGCTTGTTGAGGGTTAAACGCATCAAACAGAAAACTCTGTTGACTTATGCTGACCATGTTGAAGATTTTCTGAAGTGGTGCTCAACACACAAGCGGTCCTACAAGACTTTGAGACAAGCTGATGTGAGTATGGCAACCTATTTCAACATGCTCTTTGACGACGGTTCAGCACAGAACATGGCATCTTACACATTGTTTGGCTGGATAACTTTGAGGGTGGTCCCCAATGGGCCAGAGAGAGACCTTCTGCCTTTGTCACTTGCGGCTTTGACGGCATGGCGCAGTAGCTCACCTTCCAAATCTCGAGTTGGTGTCCCTCCGCAGGTCATTTACTGTTTTGCTCAGTATTGCATTTCTCAGGACCATGTTGATGCAGCTGCTGCAGTGTTACTACAATATGACCTATACGTGAGACCTTCAGAGATTTTAGGGGTTCGCGGTGTAGACATTGTCCCGCCAGTTTCTACATTGACTTCATTTTGGGGTGTCATTTTCGGCAACTCTGACTTTGGAGAGCCAACAAAATCTGGTGCTTATGACGATGTCGTCCTGGCTGACTCCACCCACAGAACGTATGCATGCACTGTTTTGAAGCATATCTACAAAAAGTGTAAGCAATCGCCAAAATGCATTTTCCCTCGTCTAACGCTGTCTGTCTATGAGGGCTTGTTTCGGGATTTTAGCAAACTTCACAAGTTGGCTCCACAAGTGTTTTCTCCACATGTGATACGGCACAGTGGGCCGAGTTTTGATGTGATGCATTCTCACCGTGACATAGCTGCAATCCAGTCACGTGGACGTTGGGCCTCAGCAGCGTCAGTGGCGAGGTATAAGAAACCAGGTAGGCTGTTGCTTCAGGCTTCACAGTTACCCCCAGCATTGAAGTATTATAATAGCAAGACCTTGAACACAGCTCTGACCTCGATCTTGAGCCATCCATGGGCTTTGCACCAGTAATCCTCTTTGTTGTTCGGTGATTGGCAGAGAAGCTTGAACAGTGGCAAAAATCTGGATCGCACTTGGGTATCGAAACCTTTGAACGCAATCCAAACCCATTTCAAACCTTGGTGCTGCATGATTTGATGTGTTGTGGTGCTGTCTTGCGACAGCTTTGGTCAACGCTGGATGATGCTTTAACCTTGAGCGAAAAACACAGATTCATGAGCTGCTGGGTTGGACAGGAGGTTGTGGAACAATTGTCAGCTTGCGCTTTTTGTTCACATTGATCCGTTGAAACCCCATGGCATTTGACATCTCAAGAATCCAGTGGGCCCACCCACCCCCAGCCTGGGGGGCAGAGAAGCTTGAACAGTGGCAAAAATCTGGATCGCACTTGGGTATCGAAACCTTTGAACGCAATCCAAACCCATTTCAAACCTTGGTGCTGCATGATTTGATGTGTTGTGGTGCTGTCTTGCGACAGCTTTGGTCAACGCTGGATGATGCTTTAACCTTGAGCGAAAAACACAGATTCATGAGCTGCTGGGTTGGACAGGAGGTTGTGGAACAATATATATATACAATATATATTATATTTAGTACATTCATAAAATACTATGCAAAGTATATATACATATACAATATATATATATACTATGCAAAGTATATCTACAATATATATACACTAAATAAACTATATATTATACATAATATATATATACATATACTATATATAGTACCAGTAGTACCGCACAAGGCGGTGGCGGAAGTTTCAAAAATAGGAAACCTATAGGAGAGCTTGGTTGTTGTGAATCAGGGATGGCAGAGCGAAGCCACTGATGGATTGAAAGGTGCTTGACCTCTCTCACTCTTTCTCTCTCTTTCTCTCACTATCTACCTACCTACCTACCTACCAATCTATCTATCTCTCTATGTATCTATCTATCTCTCCATGTATCGATCCATGTATCTATCGATGTATCTATCTATCTATCTATCTATCTGTCTGTCTGTCTGTCTGTCTATCGATCTGTCTGTCTTTCTGTCTGTCTATCTGTCTAGCCATCTATCTATCTATGTCATCTACCCAGCTGGCCTCTCTCTCTCTCTCTCTTTTTCATCTAATTACCTATCTATCTATCTATCTATCTACCTACCTGTCTATCTCTCTCTCCCTTTCATCTGTCTATCTGTCTAGCTGTCTACCTGTCTATCTGTGTTGCAGTGTCATTCAGTGTAATGTAGTGTGGTGTAGTGTAATTTAGTGTAGTGGAGTGTACTGGAGTGTAATGTACTGTAATGTAGTGTGACTTCGAAGTGTGCTTCGCGCCACAACGGCGTACACTTTTTCAACATCTGAACCTCCAAAAATGGTCCGAACCCCTAGTGTTTTGTACATTTTAACTTGGAAATGTGCTTCGCGCCACAACGGCGTGCACTTTTTCGACATCTGAACTTCCAAAAGTGGTCCGGAGCTGAGGTGTTTTGTACATTTTGACTTGGAAATGTGCTTCGCGCCACAACGGCGTGCACTTTTTCGACATCGCAACTTCCAAAAGTGGTCCTGACCTGAGGTGTTTTGTACATTTGGACTTGGAAATGTGCTTCGCGCCACAACGGCGTGCACTTTTTTGACATCTCAACTTCCAAAAGTGGTCCGAGAATGGTGTGCTTTGTACATTTTGACTTCGAAATGTGCTTCGCGCCACAACGGCGTGCACTTTTTCGACATCGCAACTTCTAAAAGTGCTCCGAAGCTGAGGTGTTTTGCACATTTTGACTTGGAAATGTGCTTCGCGCCACAACGGCGTGCACTTTTTCGACATCTCAACTGCCAAAAGTGGTCCGAGAATGGTGTGCTTTGTACATTTTGACTTCGAAATGTGCTTCGCGCCACAACGGCGTGCAATTTTTCATCTCTCATCTGGCCAGCTGGCTCCGCACCCGCCGCTTTAGCGAGCCTACTTTTTGACCCTCCGGAGCCACAAATCATTGGAAAAACACAGTGTTTCGCGACTTTCCTACCTTTTCGCGCATCTGCATCTTCTGTCTTCTTACTCTTTCTCTTCTACTCTTCTTGCTTCTAATCTTTCTCTTCTCTCTGCCTCTTCCCTGCTCTGCTTTTCATCTCTCCATATTGTCGGAAGTTTGACTTCTAAACTTCCTTCGATTATCCTGTATATATACTATATAAATAGTATAATACTATATATATACACTATATTTGCTATATATATATACTATATATACTATATATATACTCTATATAGATACTATATATATACTATATATATACTATATATATATACTATATATATACTATATATATATACTATATATATACTATATATATATACTATATATATATACTATATATATACTATATATATACTATATATATACTATATATATATATATACTATATATATACTATATATATACTATATATATACTATATATATACTATATATATATACACTATATATACTATATATTTACACTATATATACTGTATATACTATATATACTATATACATACTCTATGTATACTATATATATACACTCTATGTATACTATATATACACACTATATATATATATATACACTATATATAAATACTATATAAATACTATATACATACTATTTATAAATACTATATATATATACTATATATACACACTATATATACTTTATATATATATATACACACTACATATATATATACTATATACACACAATATATATATACACCATATATACACACTATATATATATACTATATATATATACTATGTATTTACTATATATATACTATATATGTACACTATATTTATATACTATATATATACTATATATATATACACACTATATATATATACTATATATATATATATACACTATATATATACTATATATATATATATATACTATATCTATACTATATGTATATACTATATATATACTATATATATACTATATATATACTATATATATATATACTATATATATACTATATATATACTATATATATACTATATATACTAAATATATACTATATATGCTATATATATACTATATCTATACTATATATATACTATATATGTATACTATATATACTCTATATATATATAATATATATATAATATATATATAATATATATATAATATATATATAATATATATATAATATATATATAATATATATATACACTAAATATACTATATAGATACTGTATAAATACACTATATATACACTATATATATACTATATATATACTATATATATATATATACTATATATATATACTATATATATATATACTATATATATACTATATATATATACTCTATATACATATATACTATATATACACACCACATATATTGCATATATATATATACATAGCATATATGTAGTATATATTTATATATTGTGTATATATAGTATACACATAGTGTGAATATATTTATATATAGTGTATATATATATAAGTAGTGTATATATATATACTATATATATACTATATATTTACTATATATATACTATAAATATATTTTATTTACTATATACATACTATATATACACTGTATATAGAGTATATATATATATACGCTATATATACTGTATATAGATAATATATATATATACACACTACAATATATATACTATATATACACACTAAATAGTTTATATATAAAGTATATATACATATACTTTCTCGATATATATACTCTATATTAAAAACTATATATAAACTATATATAAACTATATATAAACTATACATAAACTATATAAAAACTATATATACACTATATATAAACTATATATAAACTATATATTAATATATATAAACTATATATATATACTATATAGTATATGTATGTGATATATATGTATATATGTATGTTGTTATTTTTTATATATGTACATATTATATATGTATATGATATATAGGTATATGATATATATGTATGTACTACATATGTAAATACTATATATACTATATATATAGATACGATATATAGATCCTAAATATAGATACTACATATAGATACCATATATATATATATTATATCACTATATGTATATATATATATGTTGTTTCCACTTTGAACATGTGTCTAGGAGGTTTTTTTAAGGCGTCAAATCATAGGCAACCGCAAGAATGTGTCCTTGCCAGCGCTTTGCCTCGCTGTTTGGAATCACAAAAGGCTGGTCGTTTTTTTTTGGAATCATCAAACAATAGGGTTTATTTGGGTATAGATCCAATAGGAGATTATATTAATCCAATAGTTGGGGATTAAGCCCAATATAAATTATATACCCTCTGATAATTGAACATAGCTATTGAAAATGGCCCATAGAAATAGTTCATTTACCTATTAAAGATGGTGATTTTCCAGTTTGCCATGTTAGTCTACCGGGTGTGTTTTGGGGTCAATGATTTTAACCCATAGCCATGTATGGCATAGCCGCACGTAGCGTATCCTAAGCCACGCCGTTTCAGACGACTGCGTGAGTTACACTAAGCGTGGGCAATGTTACAACGATTGACCTAGTGAATCTGATCAGATGAAGTGAATGCAATCGATTTAGTCATTAAGGTCACCCATTTGAGATGCAGTTGAGGGACTGACTGGGTCAAAGCGCCACTCTAGTCGTTGCCACCACCCAGTGGTTTACCCCGTACCAGTGGGATATGAGATCCAAACTTTGTACCAAATCCAATGCTTGAAACATACTCCTAGGGTGTTCAGCTTTTCCTTGTGCCGGTGCGTGGATGTTGCGGACATGTATAGTGATGGGGAAGTGAGCCCAGCCATTGCGGTTAAATATGTTTGAATCATATTGAATCATCATCTTCCCAATTTAAACAGTATTGAAACATTATGATTGTGGGGGGGTATATACCCTGTGATTCCATGCCACAAAATATGCAAATTGTGCGAATGACCCAGGAATTTGACTACGTTTGTAAAAACCTCACATTTTGAGATCGTTTGATTGTAGCCCATTGATGGCCATCAAATGACTGTAATTTGGAAGAGTCATTTGATGGGGTACTCTTTAAGAGGTTCCAATTTCAAAGCGTGACAAAACCGTGACAGATCGTAGCGGGCCTACTATTTTCCATTAAAAATCGAGACGTTTGACAGCCCGTGACAGCCCGTGACGGGGCCCCTTAATGCGCAAAGCGCCACCAAAATAGGGCACCCGCAAATGACATGAAAAAAACACATCGGATGGCATCGGGGTGCCAAAAAAACAATCTACATCAACAAATGACATGAAATAAGTGCAATGGAGGATCTCTAAGGATATAATACACCCCATTTTTAGGTCAGCCTGTCACCACTGGTTTTCAGCTTCGCAGTTGACGCCAGGTCACCACGTGGTCCTTGAGATTCACAGCTTCTGGTGGTGTGAACGGCGTGAGGCTGGAGATGGCAGGGCTTCTCCCGTTGGATGATAGTCATGTGATCAGTGGCCAAAGCCCTGTTGGTTGGTTGATGATTAGTTCGGGGATTATATCAACCAACAGGGATTATATTGGTTAATATATCGGTTAATATTGGCTAATATTGGGGATTATATTAATATATTAATGTTGGGTATTGGTTAATTATATTAACTATACCCAATATATGATGTGACAAATCCCCTTCATATTTTTGGGAGTATCATAATCCATGATCGGAAATCCGTTCTTCACCAACCAGTAGAAGGGACAAAAGGGACGACACAGGGTTTTGAACACTGTTCCTTTTTCAACTGCAGACTGGTGAATGGGGGATTCAGTCGACCTCGAGTCATAACACGTGGCAGATCTACACCAAGCTCCAGGAATACGATATGTATCAAACATGTCGATCTTGGGCTGCCTATTTGCTGCAGTTGATACGTTTGGTTCTTCCTGATTACAAGGCGGAGCACAACAGACCAAGCAATAGCAAATTTACATGTTGGGCTATGGGTGTGAGGATGCGGATTGCGCCAGATGCAGATGCTCTTGTTCATTCCTGGTTGCAGTCGAAACTTGGCCACCGTCAAATCACCAAGGTCACCCAGCTCCAACAATTACCGGTCGCCCTGACCGAAACGCCAGTGGTCGAAAAGGTAGGCACTGTTGGCCTCCATCGCTATTGGCCTAACTAAGCTGTGCCGTAAGGCTTCTCAGTGCAGCAAGAAGTCTGCCACTGGCCGACTGCTTGTGACGGTTGTCAAGAAGGTGCGTCAAAAAGGGTTTTGAACACTGCTCAATTTGGGATAGTTTATTGTTGGGTTTACCTCATTAATGAACTTAAAACGGGGTCCATTTCGAATTTAAAGGCTTAAGTCTCGAAATTGATGTGATGCATGAAAAACTGTGCATGCAAAGTTTGTGCAAAGTTAACCTATAGATGTCTAGATACGGATGTACACTAAGAAGTGCAGAGTCGACCAGACCAGGAAAACTTCTAGCTAACATTAAGTGCAAATGATTTGGCTGTCAGCCGGGATATGCATTTCTGAATTGTCTGAATCGTAAGCCAAAAAGGATAGAAAAGTTGGAAACCTGGAATTATGAGATAAATGTCATCTATCCTGGAAATACTTTTTCTATCTTTTTGGAGGTTACTATATCGTTGTTTGAGTTGAGAATGTTGAGAAACCGATTGGTCGGGGATTCTCCCGGCATGTCCCGGCTCCGGGTTTGATTCAAAAATAGGATGCCGACCCACACATAGTCAATTTATCAGGACTTCACAATCTCCAGACCATAAAATTTCATGAATATCCTATATATCTAAAGATGGTGAAGTATCTAGATATGAACCATATATATATACATTATATACCATCTAGATATTTCACCATCTCCTTCATCATGAATCTTGAACCATCTTCATCTCCCATATATCTAAAGATGAAGTATCCCCAAACTTGCAATGTAAATGGGAAACATGATCATGATCCGTTTCCTTACATGCGAGGTGAGGGTCGATTTTAACAGAGCTTCCCGCACACACACACACACATACCCACGCACGCACACTCACACACCTACACATTGGATCGGTTTTGGAAATTGGAGCTGGTTCCAAATTGGTTCGATCGAATTGTGCGTAATTTGTTCTGCACGGTTTTAACTTAAAAGATTTGGCAAATCCTACCTGGTAGAGGATGTCCGGCAATTCCTCGAAGACCGAGTTGAGGTTGCAAAAGAAGCTCCATTAGCATCCAAGCTCGAAGGTAATAATGCAGCTGAAGCATGAATGAAATCAGAACTCTCCATTGAGAAAATGTATGGATATGTCTGTATGTATATGTTTGCGTGTGTGACCACCAGCTGCGACCACTGCGCCCAGGTGCATCGCTAGCAAATACGTTTTCATGACAAACTGGAAGGGTCTTCGTTGGCCCAAGCCTTCCAGAATGTTCTTGGGCCCCCTGAATCGTTGTATGGAAATGTGTAATCGACAGTGCTCTGTGTTAGAAGGGTGTACACACAAACACAAAGACACACACGCAAACACACACGCCCCACTTGGGGGCCAGGCTTGCTATGGCAATGATGAATGCATATTCCTTGTAGTATGTTGAAAGTTGCTATCCTGCGAACCTCCAATATACAGAAAGACGGTCACAGATAGAATGTTAGATAGAAGGGCAGAAAAAATGCCGAAAAGAATGCCTAAAAGAATGCCCGAAAGAATGTCAGATAGAAGGCCAGGTAAAATGCCAGAAAAGGTGTGAGATAGATAGACAGATAGAACGCCACAGAGAATGCCAAATAGAATGCCAGGTAGAAGGTCAGATAGAATGTCAGAATATGTCAGAATATGTCAGATAGATAGATAGATGGATGGATGGATGGATGGATGGATGGATGGATAGATAGATAGATAGGTAGGTAAATAGATACATCGATAGATAGATGGATAGATAGATACATCGATAGATAGATAGATAGATGGAATGCCACAGAGAATGCCAGATAGAATGTCAGATAGAATGCCAGAGAATATGTCACATGGAATGCCAAATAGAATGCCAGATAGAATGTCAAAAGGAATGCCGGGTAGAAGGTCAGAACCGGATAGAAGGTCAGAAAGAATGCCAGATGATCAGGGTCCAAAACATCTCTTCATGTGCTTAGTAAAACTTGTGTCATATGTGTGTCCAGCGTAAGCAAAGCCCTGGGATTCGTAGTGTCAGATAGTACGTCAGAAAGAAGGTCTGATGGAGTGCCAGAATATATGTCAGAAAAAATGCCAGAGAGAATAGTATGTCAGATAGAATGTCAGACAGACTGTCAGATAGAATTCCAGATAGAATGCCAGATAAAATGTCAGAGGGAATGTCAAGATATAGGTGGGTATCACGGGATGTAAAATTATTTGGATATCGGAAATTGATAGCTATCTCCATGTTCAAAACGTCGTACCGCAGGTATTGCGGAACGACCACCACAACGACACCAGGACTGGGAACCAATGACATTTCAACCTTGGTGTGGATTTTCATTGCCACTTTGTATTTTTGGGACGGGTTGAAACTACCACTTGTACAAAGTCGTGATTTTGAACCTGACTTATTCTTCTGCCTGACCTTTTTTGAGCAGGTTTGAGGCAAAAAACCATATCGCCAGCTGCTTTGGCATCCCTTTCATCGTAGAAAGAACCTGCTACATGCGTGTGGACCACCATTTTCGAGGAAAAGTCGGGAAATGTAAATTGCCCCATGAATGACACATGATTATGGATTCTTACATGATTGTAGGTTTAGTTTGCGTGATAGTATATAGCGTAGTCAACAAATGGACATAGATAATTCCATCTTTACTAAACCCAGAACAATTTTCCCACAACACAATATTCTGGTTAAACATCACAAAATCCATGACTTCACAATGTCAGGTCACGAACTCTTCAAGGGAAAAGGTTAAATGATTAACGACTTCGCAGCGACGTCACTGGAGTTAGTTTTCAGGTCTCGGTCCTGGCAGGGTTGAGGTCCCCCAAAGGTGAAAGGCCTTCTTTCAGGTTGGTGAATTCATGTAATTTTCCAGAAATATCATTGGTTGAATAATTCTGAATACCTGAAATTATTGGGATTATATATATATATATATATACATATATATATATATTATCAGGATTATATATAACCCCCCCATTGCATCTAGGGGCAAAACGCGTTTTTCTCCCCGCGGTAGGAGGTGACGTGACTGGCGATCCACACATCAGGACTTTGGATCCTCGGAGCCGACTGGTGCTTGGTGGGTGAAATCTGGCTGGGTCTCGAAATTCTATAGCCTGAGATCCCAGTGATTTATCACACACACATAATATATATATATATATCTATTTAACTTAATATTATATTACATTGCCATTTTTTAGACATTTTTTTAAAGTTGCCAGTCGGGGATCTCACTTTTACCCATCTCTCTTGGCTCACCCTTGGTGGGATGAAACTTTAAGCAGCCAAAAACTGTGGAATTTGCTGATTGGATTGGTCAATGAAGCACTTTTCATGATGTGGATTGATTTGTTCAATTTTGCATTGACCAATTATTTTTTTGCATGCAACGTTTGGTTCTCTGATTTGCGTTGGTCAATGAAGCTGAGAGGAGTGGTATTGGAAACGAAGCCACTGATGGATGAGATGAGGTAAATGAAATGGATGAAACTGATGAAGTCAATGACAGATGAGGATCAAAGAATTCAGTGTCAGCCCCCAGACTTCTTCAATGGATGGTCATTCCATGTCATTCCCAGATTTTTTTTTTGGGGTTCTTTATACCCACTACCCTCTGGTAAACTAACATAACTATGGAAAATCACAATTTTTCATGGGAAAATCCACTTTCTATGGCCATTTTCAATAGCTATGTTAGGTTCCCATGAGTTCCTGACCCCATTCAACGAACTCACTGGCGACCCAGGATGGAAATCACTACCTGCTGCTGAACCAGGGCACTTTCTCGCTGTGGCGCTTCTCTGGACAGGCGAATGCCGCTTGGTGAGATCCATTCATCCAGGAATTTGGAGGATTTGATGACATACCCTCTGGTTATGACTAACAGTTCGCCATGGTTTTTCGACGGCCCTAATTGAAATAGATGGTTTACCGAACTTAAAAATGGTGGAATTTTCCATGGCTATGTTAAATAACCAGATGGTAGATGTCCTGTTTCCACTGGGTACTTGATAGGTTGGATTCCTCCTATTCAACCAGTCGATGTCGATGATAAATAAGAAAAAAAGCAAACCGGCCCCCCTAGTTTTTCCTAAAACGACACTATTGCTTGATGAACGAATGCACTGTTCCATTTGAAGATGGATGGTGTTTTTTTTAATGTTTTTTTTTGGTTTTGGAGACCGCAGATGGACTTGTCATTTTGATTCATGTTGAGTGTTTACCATTGCACATTTTAAGTAGCCAACAGCTCCAAACCTCGACGGATAGGAGCCCAAAGACCTTGAATTTTAGGTTACATTTCCCAACCAACAAAAAACAAGGAAAAAACACAGGAGGACCCAGGTCCGCGTGATCTGAGGTGGATTGGCAGATCTATACCCGCTACAGTGGCCACCAATCCTTTACCAAGGGCCTGCTGTTGGTGGATCAGTCAGCAAAGCGCTTCCGCCGAGCCCTAGAGATCACTGCCAAGGATGTTTTAGGGATGCATCCCAGGGGCCGCCAGGGGATGATATCACCACCGTTGTGGGGTCCCCAAGAAAACGCCGTTCTTCTTCTTTTTGATGCCTCACATTATTTCTGGGATTCTCGGATTGATGATTGTTTTGAGGGGTTCAATTTTTTAGGCAGATATGTCCACAGTGGATGCCCCGAAGTGTTCAGATCGCATCCCGCAAGAATTTCCCGGCGGCAGGATTGCAAGTGGCGGACAAGAACCGAGGGCAACGAATGGGTCGCCAGGGGATTTGCTCAGAAACAATTTATTATTTCATTGCTGTTTGTTTTGCTGCTGATGGTTTCATTTGTTTTATTTTTTGTTGCCGTTGATGGACCCAAAGAGCCCTCAAATGTGTAGATTCTCAACAGGTTTCTTGACCTATGTCCCCTATGAAAACGAAAGAGAAACTTGAACATGGAGTCCATGAAATCAACATTGGACGTAGGAACTTATTCTTGGGGTGCGCTGTAGACTTCCAAGGTTGCTGTTTTGGATATTTTTCACATTGTCTCCAACAATTGGGCATATTTCCGCCATTGTTGGTTGCCTCCGCATCTCAATATGTGTGGTTTTGTTGGTCATGTCCACTAATTTTGGGGTGCAAAAACACTCAGCAGTGGAATTATCACCCCAAAATAGGAGATAAACCAGCTACTTGTAGGTTCTTAGGATCTTGTGACCGGAGATTTTTCAAATTTTATTTTTCGGATAGCTCATCTGCAATGATGCTTCTAGCCCTGCCGTGATGATGCTGCCATGAGTGGTGGATGAGTTCTGCTGAAATCATCACAACAGTCCAAAAATAGTGCACCCCTCCACTGGTGCATCATTTTCCCTATGGCCCTATGAATTGATTGCCATATTTGGGGGCTAATTCCCCCGACACCAAAATCCGGGTGATGCCTGAGGAAGTGGTACAGCACCCTGAACTTTTCAGTGGGGAGGGCACGGCATTGAACCTCACTAGGCATCACCTGAGGCCTGGAAAATGGGGTCATATCGGGTCCGCCTGTGGTGAGAACCGGGAAGATGATGGAAAACAACAGGATATTTCATACAATGTTGACGTCTTGTTTCATTGCATGCGGCAAGCCCGCCGGTCATAGGAGTGTGCTGTGAACCCTAGGTGGCAGCCGGAGAGAGAAGAAGAAGACAGAGCCATAAAACGGAAGCAGCTTGTGTAGGAAGTGCTTGCGGCAACAAACTATTGACGGTATACCAAATATGTACCCCTCTAGGAGTAGGAGTAGGAGTATGAGAAGAAGGAGGAGTAGTAGTAGAAGGAGGTGGAGGAGCAGTAGAAGAAGGAGGAGGAGCAGTAGCAGTAGCAGTAGCAGTAGCAGTAGGACTAGCGCTAGTAAAGGGTGGGAAAGGGGAGGGGGGGGTAAGCAAGAGAACAGAGGAACAAGTACATTCCAATCAAGGCGGATTAGGAAACCCTGCCCCCCCTCAAACCAAAGGTCTGGGATCCATGTTTTTTTAACCATGTATGTATTGCTTAAAACTTGCCCAATTGAAAACAAAGACATAAATGTCATCTTGGGACCCTTTAGTATCGCCGAAGAAATTGCCCAATTGAAAACGGATAAAGAAGTGTCAAACAATTCTTCCCAAAAACCGGTTAGCGTACTTTATTATGGGGTTGTTTTTTATTGGACCAAGGGTTGGCGTACTTCATTGTGACGGGGTTTACTAATACCATGTAGACATGATATATTTATATATATATATATACATATACACATACACATACACACACATACATACATACATACATACATACATACATACATACATACACACACAGACAGACATACATACATACATTACATTACATTACATAACATTACATAACATAACATTACATTACATTACATACATACATACATACAGACACACATACACATTACATTACGTTACATTACACTACACTACATTTCATTACATTACATTACATTACATATATATATATATATTTAAGCGCTTACGCGCGACAGCCGGCCAGGGGCCCAACTATGTATGCCCATTTTGTGGCTATGTTGGCCTATGTTGGTCTATCTTGCGGGCAATGTGGGCCCATCTTGTGGCTATGTTGGCCTATGTTGGCCTCATGTTGAAGCATGTTGAGCCAAAAGATCCGAAAAATGGGAACAGCCAAAAAAAACACTGTAAAACGCAGGATATTTTGATGGTCGACGGCCGATCTTGGGCCTATGTTGGCCCATCTTGGGGCTATGTGGGCCTATCTTCGGGCTATGTTGGTCCATCTTGGGGCTATCTTGGCCCATCTCGGGGCTATGTTGGCCCATCTTGGAGCTATGTTGGCCCATCTTGGGGCTATGTTGGTCCATCTTGGGGACTATGTTGCCCCATCTTGGGGCAATGTTTGCCCATCTTGAGGCCTATCTTGGCCCATGTTGACCCATCTCAAACCACAAGATCCGAAAAAGGCGGAAAAATGCGAAGAGCACAAAACACCGTAAAACGCGACAGTTTTTGGCGGGCAAAGGCGTCGGCGGCAGGGGGCGCGGCCCCTCTCTCCTACGGAGAGAAGAGAACTGCCGTATGGGAATGCCACGGCCAGGGGGCCCCTGGCCGGATATATATATATATATATATATATAAATAAGGGGCTACGCCCCCTGCCGCCGACCCCTGGGAGAGAGTGGGGGAGTGTCACCGTGTTGACTGTGGCTTAACCTGACTACGGCTTTGTAGGGGCCGCTGTCGAGCTCCTGAGGCAAAATGGTAGACTTGAAGCACAGCACAACCAAGACCATCTCGGAGTGCAATTTTAATTTTACCTTGACTTATAGCTCTGTAAAATCTGTAAATTAAAAAGTGGAGATATTGCACTTGAAATATCTCAGTCTGTAGGGGCGAAACGAGCGAACTGTTTGCATTTCGCTAAACTGATTCGGCAGGGCAAAACAGCAGGGCCCTGAGGGACGGACCGGGCCTGCGGGGCGCGGCCCCCACTGCCTAACGTCACTTTCTGAACCTACAAGAAAACTAGCTGTCTGAGCTGTCTTCCAGCCACCAAGCCCCACAAACGGCGCCTTCGCCACACCAAAACAGCAGGGCCCTGAGGGACGCACCGGGCCTGCGGGCCGCGGCCCCCTTCTTCCAGCCGCCAAGCTTCACAAACGGCGCCTTCGCCACACCAAAACAGAAGGGCCCTGAGGGACGGACCGGGCCTGCGGGCCACGGCCCCCAGTGCCTAACATCACTTTCTGAACCTACAAGAAAACTAGCTGTCTGAGCTGTCTTCCAGCCGCCGAGCTTCACAATTGGCGACTTCGCCACACCAAAACAGCAGGGTGAGGGACGGACCGGGCCTGCGGGCCGCGGCTCCCGGTGCCTAACGTCACTTTCTGAACCTACAAGAAAACTAGCTGTCTGAGCTGTCTTCCAGCCGCCAAGCCTCACAAACGGCGCCTTCGCCACACCAAAACAGCAGGGCCCTGAGGGACGGACCGGGCCTGCGGGCCGCGGCCCCTGTCTTCCAGCCGCCAAGCCTCACAAACAGCGCCTTTGCCACGCCAAAACAGCAACGCCCTGATGGACGGACCGGGCCTGCGGGCCACGGCCCCCAGTGCCTAACGTCACTTTCCGAACCGACAAGAATACTAGCTGTCTGAGCTGTTTTCCAGCCGCCACGGCTAACATTGTCTCAAACAGCAGCGCCCTGAAATACGGACCGGGCCTGCGGGCCACGGCCCCCAATGCTTGTAATCTCTTCTCTGACGCGCTCCCCCTGCTGTCGGCAGGGGTCGGCGGATATATACATATCTGTATGTACATAGAATACACTACATACATACATACATACATACATACATACATACATACATACATACATACATACATACACATACATACATACATACATACATACACACATACATACATACATACATACATACATACACATACATACACATACATACACATACATACACATACATACACATACATACACATACATACACATACATACACATACATACACATACATACACATACATACACATACATACACATACATACACATACATACACCTACATACACATACATACACATACATACACATACATACACATACATACACATACATACACATACATACACATACATACACATACATACACATACATACACATACATGCACATACATGCACATACATACACATACATACACATACATACACATACATACACATACATACACATACATACACATACATACGCATACATACGCATACATACGCATACATACGCATACATACGCATACATACGCATTCATGCGCATACATACGCATACATACGCACACATACGCATACACATACATACACATACACATATTCACATACACACATACACACATACATACATACATGCATAAATACATACATACATACATACATAGATACATACATGCATGCATACATAAATACATACATACATAAATACATACATACATACATACATACATACATACATTAATTACATACATACATACATACATAAATACATACATACATACATACATACATAAATACATACATACATACATACATACATACATACATACATATATACATACATACAGACATACATACATACAGACATACAGACATACAGACATACAGACACACAGACACACATACACACATACACACATACACACATACACACATACGCAGTACATTACATTACATTACACTACACTACATTACATTACATTACGTTACGTTACATTACATTACATTACATTGCATACATACATACATATATATATACACATATCTGTATGTACATATAATACAAATATATATATATATATATATATACACATACACATACATAGTGATTTTCAATCATTATTGTTGGTTTCCATGGGAATGGCCTGGGGGGCACATGTACTGAGTTGTACCTCTGGATATGTCAGGATCATCTCATTGGTGCATCCCATCCCATTCCTTCCCTACGTTTAGCAGTTTAGCAAGTGGATTTTGTTTGAAAAATTCGGGGAAAACCCAAAAATCCTATGGTTTCTCATCATTTTCTCCATCAAAACAACCATATATTAGCCCGGTCAGTTGCCCTTTTTCAGACCGTCATGGATTGTCATCTCCCCAGGTTTTTCATGAACAACAAACACGACGAGAACGATGGGCATGACGGACAGCGCGAGGTTGCCGTGCTCAGTTTCAGGTGCCGGCCAACTCACTACATGAACCTGGCCATCAAAATGCGCCGCGCGGAAGACGTGAAGTTCGTGGAGGGTGAGTTGAGATCCTTGGTGTTTCTTCCTTTCAGAAGGGGATGTTTGGATGGCTGCCACTTTTTGCCAGATCTCTTCGTGGGATTAGAACATTGAAAAAACCTTCATTTCACTATTTGCCGGCTGAAGTTGGAGTTGTTCAATATCTAACAACCACAATATGGAGGTTTCCTAAATTGGGGGTACCCCTAAATCATCAATTTTCATCGGATTTTCCACTATAAACCAACCATTTGCGGTACCCCTATTTTTGGACACCTCTATAGATAACTTCCCACAATTCTTTGAAACCCATCAAGGTCAGTACTGCTAGGCGGAAGCACGTGGATCCCATCAGTGGGTAATAAGCCTACCCATCGTTGATATAATGTTTAATACACCCATTAACTATAGGATATAGACATAACATGATATATCTACATATATCTACCATAATTCCAATCGTTAAGCTACATATATCTACATATATAAACCAACTTCTAGACATAGGGAACGTTTTGGGGCCGCCACCCTGTAGGAACGACGGACTTGAGCGCCTTCCCTCTATCGTAGATTCGATATGCAGTTTTGTTTGGTTTTAAACATGTAAGATCCAAACACTGGCATTACGGCATTACCTACAAGTTCAACGGAATTTCGGAATCCATCCATCCATTTATACCCTCTGGAAATCAAACATTGGAAAATCCACCAGCAACAGTTCGATGATTTTCCCGTGTAGAGATGAACGTTCGATGCCCATTGAGTTTGGGGATTTCCCACGTTGTCCGAGAGGACAGCGTCGCGGGTGCCGCCAAGGAGCCGCACGTAAACCTCATGGTGCTTCCATGCTGCAAATGACCGATGCGGAGTTTGAGCAGCACAAGTCCTGGAGCCTTGGATCGATTGGAAGAACCACACCCTAAGTCATGGGGATCCCCCAGTCATCCAGTCGTCATGGATAACCATGACTTAAAGACTTGAAACCCATGGCGAACAGGGATCCCCCATTTTAAGAACTCCCAAACGCTAGTTGTATCCTCCCCCCTCCCCACCAAGTAATAGAAACCTGGAGTAGTTTTTTGGGACTCGGGGGATGCTTAGTATTGGGGTGCAAAACTTTACCCGTAATATTACCCTCTGGTTATTTAACATAGCCATGGAAAATCACCATTTTTAATAGGTAAACCATCTATAAATGGGCCATTTTCCATGGCTATGTTAAATAACCAGAGGGTAAATTTAAAACCTGAGTTAAAAAGAACTAAATTTACATTTTCGATTTTAAAATCGATAAACTTCCTTATTAAAATCTAATTAACATATTGCAGAAAATTGGATTTTGAAGCTTCTAACACCTTCATTAAAAAACCTACAATTTTTGATTTCAACATCGATGAACTTTCTTGTTAAGTTTAATTAAACAAATCCAAAAATTGGATTTCGGAAGCTTTCCCCGCCCTAATAAATCTTAAATTTAAACCTTAATAAAACAAACTAAAATTTTGATTTTAAATCGATCAAATTGCTTATTAAAATCTACTTAATATTGCCAAACATTGGATTTCGAAGTTTTCCCCTAATTTTAAATCTAAAACCTTAGTAAAAAGGCTAACATTTTCCATTTGAAAAGACAGATCCTAATCAAACCATCAATTTGGACCTAGATTTTTAATTTGATTTCTAAAGGGGATCAATCAAACAAATTGTACAATTGTACAACCTGAATTTTCCCCAAATATGGAAATGAACCCTAGTTTTTAACATTTGGGGTAGGTTTCGTAATAGTCGGGAAAAGGATTAATCATAGTATACAAGATCCCCAATGATGTTCCATGGAGTTCATAGCAACCCCAGAAGAATACATCATTTTTCTGGGCTTTTGGCTGTGAAAGGACAAGGGGCTTTTGTGCTTTAAAATGTCCTAACGTTTATAACTTTATGATTTTTCATGTTGGCAACAAGCCATGGGTCACTTTTTCACATCCAGTGATGCGATTGTACATGACTGCTCGCTGCAAGGGGTTGGAGAGGCCTAAATGCCTAAATGTATATGTTTATCCGAAGCTATTTGCTTGGTTGCTTCAAACGTTGTACCTTCCATCTCTTCAAAATAGGATGGAGATCCCTATTTCAGTACAATTGAGGAAAATTTCTCATTGGCTCATGACACTCAACCACCAACCAGTGCTGACGGAACAAACGTTGGCTTCTCATCCATACATGTTGGATGGACCTCTCCCATAGCGAAGACCATGGTGCTGGTATATAAAAACCGGCAATTCACTGAGTGATTTTGGACTTTTGGGCACATGTTGGTAAATATTCCATACATGGTTCGCATATGGGTCTGGATAAGAAGTGGACCGAAGTTCACCATGTTTCTGGGGGCAGGATGATGCACCGTGCCAATAGCCTATTGAATATTTGGATGCATGAGCCCATGTACAAGCACTATTCTGACACATTTGATTTTCGGGGCTTGATGGATAGCAAAACATAATGTAAACCCCATGACCCACAGACATCGATCGTTTTTCTAGGTCTGATTAGCTGGGGTAACCCAGCAAAGTTGCCATCAAATAATAGCCAAAGTGATGATCAACCAATTGAACATGGTCTACCTTATTTGCAGACCCCCCCAAAATGTTAAATTCACCATTGGGCAGTTTCGTAACAAGAATACACAGTGAATACACTGAGTTTCTCTTGGATAGTGGCCACGGGCCATGGTACAGTGTCCCTAGCCTGGTGCACGCAGGACGGCTTTGGGCGGCAGCGGTGATGCAAGTGTGTATTTGGAGGTCCACTTGGGGATTTGTCACACGGTCAAACCTATTGTCATATTGCCATACTTAGATATATTTAAGTTATTTAAGGGAATAATCCATTAACTATTTTATGGTACCTAAGGCGCCAGGCTTTTGACTCATAGCCACTTTGTGAGTTGGGAAAATGATGAGCAGCAAACTCTCTTCACATCTTGGTGAATAACTGGTGAATAGTTGATGACATTCCTTGCTCTAAGTGGAATTAGAAGATTGTTTGCCAGGCAATTTCGCTGTTTTGCAGGTTATCGAAGATTCGCCAAGAGTTTGATCATTCCCATTCCAACCAAATCAGGATTCCCGAAATGGCACCGGAGAAGTGTTCTACATTCCACACTCCGCACTCTACACTCCACTCTCCACCCTTTACACTTCACACTTCACACTTTACATTCCACACTTTACACACTACACTTTACACTCCACACTCTACACTCCACACTCCACACACTACACACAGAAGTAGCTACCCCAGTTACAAAAATAAGTGGATTGAGCCGGAAATCCCAGTGAATGTGAAATCACCAGGGATGATTTTTGGTTTTCCTAGGTACCCAACAATGGTGAACAAAAATCATGGAAAATCCCAAAGCAAAATGGGTGTCCTATGGAGGACTGGGGGTACCATGAGGGAAACCTCCATATAATGAAATTGAATTAGGATATTGATATATTGCAAAACAAGGGGATGTGGTTGGGATTGAATGGGGAGATCTTTTCTTTCGGCTCTCAGTCTTCCCAGGGAGGACCACGAACATCAGCTTGAATACCCTCGGGTAATCAAACATGGCTTGCTGGAAAATTGCCCATTGCATAGACGATTTTCGCAGCTAGAAACCTGCTTTTCTATGGGGAGTTTCCTATATTTATCAGCTATAACACCCCATTTAGTAAGGCATTTCCCATTACCCCGAAATCCCGAAGATTTGGAACCATAGTTGCAGGCCGCGGATGAAGCTGCCACTTCCTTTGTGAGCAAATGTCAGGAGTCACAAAAAGCTGCTACTGGGATGCAACCAGTTTTTCTGGGCTCAAATCACTGGAGGATCAAAGTTGATGGTTGACTCTGACTTTTTTCTGACGCGAACAGAAAAAACATTCAGACAACTGGGACTGAAGGAATTTTTGTGACTTTGGCCCGGGCCATGAGATGATGCCTTTGAAAAGAAGTACGTGTCTGGTAATTTGTTCCATAGCTATTGAAAATGGCCCAGTCGAAATCGTGAATATTTCCCATGAAAAATGGTGGATCTTTCCATGTGTTCTTCCCTGAAACGATCCGAGGAGGCTGCCAAGATTTGCGCCAAGCACTTGGGTGAGATGCAAAAAGAGGCGGCCGGGTGGTGCCCCCAAAAAGGGTGTCACTGAGATGTAGCCGTGAAGCCCATCTAAAATTCCTCTAAAATTTGGTGACTCTCATGGTCTATGTCATTTTTAGGATGGGTAAGTTCATGTCAGTTCTGAGTCTCTTAAGGTTATCAGTCAAGATCTTGGGTCATTTTCTGAGTTTTCTGACCAACCTTTTCCAACAGCCAGTGACTCAACTTCTCACCCCATTTTCAGGGGGCAACCGATGAATCGAACCGCCCTCTCAGTGAGGCTGGAAGTGAAGAGTCGTAGTTTGATGGTTATGAAAGGACGAAAAAATCACCAGACCATATCAGTACTCAACCTTGGATGGATAGTTTAATCCTTTAATATCCTTTAGTTTTTTGCCACAAATAGGACCAGTACTCAACTTTTTTTCGGGGCTTTACAAAGTCTCCTGACTTTCGAACCGGAACAAAACCAGCGGATCTCATGCCCTGCTGAGACCCGCGCAAACGCTGACTTCTTCAGCGATTGCGTTTACGATGTTTGCAATGGTGCTGGTGAGGTGAAGAACAGCGGGTGGTTGCTGGTGGCATACTATCAGTGGTCAGGGGAGTTTATCTATAGACATGATATATACACATAATATATATGTGTATATATACACATCATGTGTGTGTGTATGTATATATGTATATATATATATATATGTACACACATTTAAAACGCATTTTCTGGGCTGGCTTAACCGGTGCTTCATGTGGGCTGGTTGACTTGACATCTGGCAGTGTGCCCAAGCTGTGGTTCTTCAGCCGGAGAGTGACAACAAAAGATCTAAAGATCAGAGGACGTCTCAGGATTCAGAAAACTGAATTCGAAGATCGTAGTAATTCTGATCTTCATACACATGCATACTGTGGATGGTTGCGAAATCCTGCACCACCAAAAGGATGGTTGAAACCCTATAAATAATGGGAG